TAACACTCGTAAGTCGTAAATCGTAAATTAAGCTCAGCAACAGCCACCAAAAACATGCAATAAGAATTCAAGTTCTCAGGACCTCGATATTGTTCACGGTGGTATAAGAAGTCCCTTTGAACAGTGGCCCGATGATAAGCTTTTAAGACCAGTTTTGGAGTACAGGGGAGCTTTAATTCCTAATTCTTTCACATGCAATACGTATAAGTCGTTATTTCATAATACCTACTTACGTCTTACGTAATGAAACTGGACACTTGAGTACATAAAAATAAGACCCATGATTCGGTGGTTGGATAGGAGCATGTGCATGCTTAATATGTTGCTTAATCGTTAGCCACTAATAAATGTCTATAGTTTACAGCCGGCCAAAATTGCTTATAATAGTCACCGAAAAAAAAACGTATGGATTTTTTTTTTAATTTAAACTTAGCGAAGCAGAGCAGTAAGTTATACAATAGGTACCTACTACGTTATATGTAGGTTTTAGTAAATTCCGTGTACAGACAGGTGAGCATGACTAAAATTGAAACGGTCAATCCCGTGTCAAGGCGGGTAATCACGACCGTATTTCAGCGAATACTGGGAGGAGTTGAATGTACAGGTCAAAGTCAGTCCGTTGTCCATATTGGTCAACTTCTAGTCCCGTAGCCCTCACTTATTAAACAGCACTGAGACTTATAAGTCATTGGACATATTTTGGCACCAGCCAAAAAGTGCACTCCTTTGACGATATCAGCCACTGCTGAGTGTCTGTTTTAGCTGTCTAAGACAGTCAGGAGAGACGGTACTCTGTCCCTATCCGTGACTCGGCGGGGGCCCGCTCGGAGCGGGCACGGGCCACCTCCCCGACTGAAGGTGGCGCTAGCGTCACCGCCAAGCGCAGACACCGATTGGCCCTCAAGGATGAATTCATCGCGAGCGATCAAAGACCGAACAGGATACACCCGTTCTGGGTGCGGGCTGCTCATTTCCAGCCCGGCTATTGGCACCCCTATCTGTGAGGTCGTGAATCTCCGGACGGCCGTGGTTTATGAGAGGCGGGCTGGGATAATGGGTAGGTCTGATGTGGCCAGAATCGATCGTCGGTTCAATGTGGCAATGATGGAGGTGCAACTTGACGGAATGTGGATTTCAGGGAACATTTTACCATAAATCTCGCTCTAACACATACCTACAGTGACTTCAAGACCCGGTCAAACATTAACGAGGTGAGTGAGCTTGGATTTTTGACAGCGGCGTTCGGTCCGTTTAAATATAAGTGATATTTTGAAATACACTAATATAATCTCCAGCAGTTTGGGAAGGCATTTCATTTGGAAAAGTCGAGTGTGCAGTAGGTAGCTGAAAGTTCAGGCATTCTTAAAAATTGAATAACAAATGAATAAGTAATTATAGGCTACCAAAAGCTGAATAATTGGTATACAAGCACGATAAAACAAATGAGGCATGATTTTTTCATGCAGCACAAACCTGTCTTTTTATGTGGCATCACAGCTATCCAACGTTCCATCGGCTCTGTTTATTACGCTATGCCATAACGGCTGTGTGTCATGACCCTTGGCTGCAGTCGTCGGGTCGGGGCCGGACAGGTCGGGTCGGGTTTACGGCACGACTCGAGGGACAGTCGTCCAATATGTCGTAAACCTGCCGACACCAGCTGGGCCGGTCGCCCGACGCTGCCGACGCGACGGTACCGACACACAGAACGACGCCAGGGAGACGGGATGGCGGAGAGAGAAAATAGCGACACGGACAATACAGGAAGTGAGGAGAAGAGACGGGGAAAGTGTGGGGAAATAAAGTGGATGTGAGAATTGAAGAGCTAACAAAATGGACTTTGAAATCGATGGAGATTTTCCTTCAATCATGTCCGTCTGTCCGTCGGCATGTCCGTCTATCCGTCTGTCCATTTCCGTGCCGTCCGTCTGTCTGTCCGTCCGTCTGTCCGTCTGTTCTGTCTGTCTGTCTGTCTGTCTGCCTGTCTGTCTGTCCGTCCGTCCGTCCGTCCGTCCGTCTGTCCGCCTGCCTGTCTGCCTGTCTATCTGTCCGTCTGTCTGTCTGTCTGTCCGTCTGTCCGTCTGTCCGTCTGTCCGTCTGTCCGTCTGTCTGTCTGTCTGTCTGTCTGTCTGTCTGTCTGTCCGTCCGTCCGTCTGTCCGCCTGTCTGTCTGTCTGTATGTCCGTCCGTCTGTCCGCCTGCCTGCCCGTCTGTCCTGCTGCACGTCTGTCCGTCTGTATGTATGTCTACGTGTCTGCGAGTGTAGTTAGTCACCAATAATGCGAAATCGATATCGCTCGTTCGTGGGAGCCAGCAAGCCGGCAAGTCGGAGGTGTGGGTAAAAAGAAATGCGGTGACTTGCTGCCTAGCGAAACATTAAGCGCTTCTGAAGGCAAATTTAGGACAAACTATCAGCTGTGTCCTTTTAACAAACTTTATTTTTGGCAGAGTGAAACGTTTCTGTTCAAAGTTATCCGGTTCACGGGCTTGGCATCATTCTCCTCTCCTTACATTTCGGCTTGAACCTCAAAGCATTGCTCGTATTCGTACGTTTTACAGCAGCCATAAAAATGTGGAGTAGAACATGAATGATTGGATATTTGCAGTTTCAAACGACAAGTAGACATGCAATGTTTAAATATGTTTAATTTCATCCTAAATAGCCGATAGCGCCTGGTTCAGTAAAGGTAACAAAAGCAATACGAGCCATTATGTCATGCTGTCAATTTAAACGAGCCATTATGTCAAAAGCCATTATGTCTCGTAAAATAACGTAGCCCGTAGGCAGGGGTGTAATTTTATATCTCTTTGTGGGGGCATATGCACCCACAATCCTGAAGTATGCCCCCACAATGATGAAAATGCACCCACAAGTCTCCTTTTACAAGCACCCTTTCGAGAGCACGGATCCCTTCGCATGTGCTCTAACGGCGTCCTCCTGACCGCCTCGCGTTCCTGGATAATATAGCGTTTTTAATCACTCGGCGCCCTTCTGGGAGAATGGCACCCTTTTGACAGCACTGCGCTATTCTCATGGTCTAACGGCGCCCTCCTGACCGTCTCGTGCCATTATGTCTCTGTGTCCACCGTGCATCCTTAGACTGTTCGGCGCCCTTCTGGCCTCTCAGCGCCCCTGGACGACATAGCGTTTTCAATCACTCGGCGCCCTTCTAGGAGAGTGGTGCCCTTTTCATGGTCTCGCGGCGCCCTCGTAACCGTCTGGCGCCCCTACGTCCCCACCAACTTAGCATTACTGACTGTGCGGCGCCCTTCTGACCTCTCTGCGCCCCTGGATCATACATCATTTTGCATCACTTGGCGCCCTTCTGGGAGAATAGCGCCCTTGTCATGGTCTCACGGCGCCCTTGTAACCTTCTGGCGCCCCTACGTCCCCTAAGCGGCCTGGCGCCCCTATACAGCTGGGCACCCACAATCATTTTGGGAAAACTACACCACTGCCCGTAGGTACATTTTGTCTTTTTATGCATACTATTTTTATCGACGGGGTTAAAAATATTATAAAGAAGCAACAAACATTTTTTCTTTAAAAAACTGTTATGTCACATTGACAGGTCCGTACAAAGGATTTTATGCAGGGATGCGGAGCCGTGGAAATTTCAGACGGCTCCGGCTCCGGCTCCGGCTCCGGAGAAAAAAATCGGCTCCAGCTCCGGCTCCGGCTCCGGGTGAAATGTCATGGCGGCTCCGGCTCCGGCTCCGGCTCCGAGTAAAATGATCCGGCTCCGGCGGCTCCGGCTCCGGCGGCTCCGGCTCCGGCGGCTCCGACTCCGGCTTCTACTCAGTACATCCCCTAATACGGGTGGAAGAAAAAAGGCGATGGCCGATTGGTACACGTTGCTTCTGTATTTGTATAACAAGGCTGTTTTGAATACCACATTGTTTTACGCCTTGTACTGTCAAACCTAGGTAAATAATTGTTTCCTCTTAAGAAAAGGAGCCGGAGTCGCCCCCTTTTTTGACGGCTCCGGCTCCGCCTCCGGCTCCGGGCTATATTGTTTCACGGCTCCGGCTCCGGCTCCGGCTCCGGGCAAAATATGCCGGCTCCGGCGGCTCCGGCTCCGGCTCCGGCTCCGGCTCCGCATCCCTGATTTTATGTGTAGGATATTTTTAAGTAAAAAGATTTTAAAGTACAAGTAGATGTAAGAGATGCCGTCCGGAGTTCGCAGAATGTCTGAATGATCGCCCTCCCGGGACAGTCGAGATGTATGGTGTCGGAGTGGTGCGGCCGCACAGACCCCGAGAGCTGAGCGATGGTGACACTGCCTCGCCGACATACATTACGCCACCGAACGGGCCCCGGGCTTAAATATGGCACACTCCAGTGGAGGAGCTTTAGAACCCAGCGATACAATGGAGTGTTGATGTTAGTAGAATGAATTCCTTGAAAACATATAATCGCCAGCCATGATTTCATGGCAGTACCTACCGGGTGTTCCGAAAAAAGTGTCACGATTTTAGTCACGTGCGATTTCCGTAAAAATTGTCCGAAATAGTTTGGCTTAAGATATGTTGCTCACAACCCTTGTCGATTTTGGTGGACAAAACGGTTCACCAAAATCTACGATGGTTTTCTCGCCAGAACAAAAAATCAAAATCGTCCGATTATGGTTCGAGACGAAATCGTACGTCACCGTCCGCCGCCGACTTCGACGCGAGTGTGACATGGAAACTCGAGATCTGCCCTGCAACAAACTCATTGCAAGGTTTGTTAACCATTTTGAGACAACAGGTTCAGTCCTGAATACTCACAGGGGCAGCAGCGGCAGGCCAGCATCGGTTTCAAAGTCCCCAGAGACCATCGCGGCCGTGCGAAATTCCGTCATTGCCAGTCCCAAGAAGTCGCTCCGTCGACGCTCTCAACAGCTCGGACTTGCTAAAACCAGCGTAAGACGCATCCTATGCGACGAGCTAAAACTGTCATCGTACATAATATCCACCAGACATAAGATGACGGATCGGGACAGGCAAAAGCGGCAAGTCATGTGTCAATGGATCTCCAACAAGATGGAGAGGAACGCGCGGTGGGTGAACCGAGTCTGGTTCTCAGACGAGGCTCACTTCCACCTGAACGGTGCGGTGAACAACCACAACAACACTTTCTGGGGTAACTCACCACCGGAAGAAGTAACGGAGAAGCAGCTGAAGGGCCCGAAGGTCACTGCCTTCGTGGCCTACTACGCCACTCACGGCCTCCTCGGTCCCTACTGGTTCGAAGAAGATGGCCGGACCGTCACCATCAATGGCGAGCGCTACCGCGAGGTCATCCGGGAATTCTACGCGGATCTGACCGATATGCTCACCGATAACCAACTGCAACAGGCATGGTTCATGCAAGACGGAGCTCCGCCTCACACTGCGCGTGAGAGTATCGAATGCCTTAAGGAGCTGTTCAACGCTCGCCTCATGTCTCTCGGCACCGCCCATGAGTGGGCTCCCCACAGCCCTGATCTCAACCCGCTAGACTTTTGGCTGTGGGGGGCTGCCAAGGACACTGTGTACGCAGGCAAGCCCAAGACACTGGTCCAGCTTAAGCAGAACGTCGAAAGATACCTGCATCAAGTCGGTCCCGAGACTCTGACGAAAGTCGCTGAGAGTTTCCAGGCCAGAATCAAGGCGTGTCTCAACCGCGGTGGTGCCCATATCGAGAACGTGAACTACAAGAAGTTCGCGTAAACTTGTGATCGCAGGAACTCCTCTGCCCTCTGGCAAGGAGTTATAGCACTGATACGAGAGTAACCTTGTTGAAAAACGACAAACGTGAGCTTTCATATGGTGTATGTTTTAATGCGTTAATACTTGTCAAGCGTTTATAATACACGTTTGAAACTGTGACACTTTTTTCGGAACACCCTGTACATATTGTCGCCAAAAGCTACACTGTTCTCGGCACTATGTCATAAAAGTTTGTGCAAAAAAAAAAAACATGCGTTGTCATAAACGTTATGCATAAATTATATTGACGACTTTATCCGCTCTATGCGCAATTTGGAAGGTAAATTTCACAAAAGATGGGATATTCTTCAATAGAATAAGTGGGCACACATTCAAATCTAACAAGATTAAGAGCCGCTGTTCTCCGTCGCTCATTTTGAATGGTTGGGTATGCATATTGCATAAGTACCTACCGATTATTATTTATTGTTTTAAATGAACGAGCATGTGAAGTTAAGATAAAAAAGGGTCAACAGCACGTACAAAATGCTGAAACTTACCATGAGTAGACGTGGAGTAGACCAGCTTTTTTATAAGGCGTTTGGAAAACGGCGCTCAGAGAAAAGTCCAAGATCTTGTCGCAGCTCCGGAGCACGGGCCAATGACGCTCAAAACCGCTTCCAATCACGCTAATTCAACTATTGCCGCGTTGGGTGGCGCCTGGTTATCGGCTACACGATAAAAGCATTCAGTGTGCTGACTTCAGTGCATACACTAACGACAGCCGAGTAAATGTTTGCCCACACCTTCCCACACGCGATTCAAGCCGACCACGCGCCCCTTGCTGGTTTGAACCGTTTGGTTTGACAGCCGCGTGTCGCCGCTCTGCTGTGAGTTTTGCGCCGGGTAATTACCAGCACTGAAGCCGTGCACGGTGTCGCAATCGGGGGTACCGTGCCGCGGTCACCGCCCCCTTGGTGACACCCCTGTTCCGCACCCTCACCCCATGCTGATCGGGGGGAGGTAATAGGGAGGGCTGGCATAACGGTCTGTTGATGGCCACTGGCCACCAGCAAGGACACGGTTGCAAATTAGAACAGTGCAGTACGGAAGTCCCGGGATTTTGCGCGCTTGGCTGCATATATTGCAATTACGGCCCCTCCACTGTAGTCACCGGGCAAAATTATTGTTCATTTTTATTTATGGAGGTATTTAGTTATTGTTTGCAATTGACTTTGCGCGCTGCCTCAATCATGCAGGTATTTTTTTTCTAACCACATATCGACTATCACGAGCCCGATTCTACATTTAGTAGAAGTTCCTTCCATGGGTGCATTTATGTTTCATTCGTTCGGTGCAGCCTGTATTGCTCACTATCCCGTAAAACGGTGACAGGGGGACTCGGGGACGCCGTTCACAACGCATAGTCCCGCGTACTGCCTGCTTCTATAAGCTTTAACCGTTTTCATCAGTAGTGGGTGCCAATGGGGGGAGAGGGCCATCCGACTCGATCCCCCCCCCCCCCATCCACACAGCTTTGACCAGCAGCGAGAGTGGCCAACGTGCTCTATGGCGAGCCGACCAACACAGGCTGTCACAGGTGGCACTCAACCGGCCAGCCCACACGGTGGGAGGCCACGCCCCCACTCCCGCCGGCCCGCCCACCCGGTCGGGAGGCCACGCCCCCATTCCCGCCGGCTCGCCCATCTGGTCAGCATCGGGGGTCATCGGACAACAAGGCCACCTCAGAGAATCTCGACGCGTAAAACCTGAGCTCAGAGGGAGGTTTGTTGACGTCTATCATACAACTTATGATAGACGCTTAAGAGAGACCTAGAAAGAACCATGCATGTGATTGATGTCTTATCTGTCATCGCTGTGAGACACCTCCCCCCCCCCCTTCATGTTGCCCCAATTCCTTTGTGTTTCTCTAGCGATTGCAACCTGAACCAATCCCATGTGTGCATGATAACCTACTTGCGGCCGTAAGTGCATCTGACTTCACGTAGTTATACGCAAACAGATTAGTCTGTGTATTGTGTAACCGTTCAGTGGCGGTCGAAGTTTGACTAGCCTAGCATTCAGGGCAGCACAGTCTTCCTGTAACCGATAGCACCTTCAAGAACTACCCCACTTGAGGCTGTAAGCCTGCAAGCCTCTTTACCGGGTCACCACAGCCTACTTATACAGCTACCAGCAATATAGCTGACGACACAATGTCCCGACACTACCGACAATAACCAACCCTTCAGCAGCATCGCATGGTGGGAAGATGGATTGTGACCAGCAGCCTGCAGTGTTGTAGGTGCATATGTGTCCGTGAAAGGGCGAGCGGTAGTGGCGAGTCGATGGGAATGCGAAGAGTCGGAGAGAGGGCAGCCTGTGTGGCTGAGAGGCAGTCGAGTGTTGTGACGAGCTGAGAGGAGCATAAGTGCTGAGGGAGGGAGAGAGGACGAGAGAGAGAGAGAGAGAGAGAGAGAGAGAGAGAGAGAGAGAGAGAGAGAACGAGAGAGAGAGGGAAAGAGAGAGAGAGAGAGAGAGAGAGAGAGAGAGAGAGAGAGAGAGAGAGAGAGAGAGAGAGAGAGAGAGAGAGAACGAGAGAGAGAGAGAGGGAAGAGGGAGGGACTAGAGACGAAGAACGGAGGGCGGAAGGCAGCGATGAAGAGGAAGAGAGAGAGAGTGACAGACAGAGAGAAAAGGAGAGAGAATGAGGGAGAGACCCCAGACACCAGATGAAATGGTCGGTTCTGGCGTTTTAACTGCGCTACCTTTTCGCTTGCCGCACCACTGCAGACCGCAGAGCCGGGGAAGTGGGCTGAGAGAACGGGGGGGGGGGGTGTTGGAGGGGGAGGGTGGACCGCTAGGTCCCCAAAGCAGCGACTAATTCCAGCTGCAGAAAGTCGTGCGGCGTGACAGTCGGGCGGTGCACCTCGAGCTGGTTCCGAGTCACGCCCGAACGAGTAGGACTCAGATCACGGCGGTCACGACTCGCGAGTCACGAGTGTCACGATTGGTGAGTCACGCACAGACCGACTCGGAAATGGTTAAAGGCGTGGGAACCGGCGACCCTGCACGGTCAGATATCTCTATTGGTTCAAATGCTACAGATGCTACAGATGCTATCGCTATTCGCTCCGATGTCGACTGAAAGGTTCGATTGTTTGTAACCGAAATTATCAGCACTGGCTGGCGAACTATCTGAGTGGCAACTGGCAACTATCTCGGTAAACACTTTCTCGAATGGATAATACCGTACCACAAAGAGCAATGGAACATCCCGTGAATGATGATGGTCATGAGCCCTGAAGGACCGTCGGTCTCTCATCTGGGTGCGCCGCCGATACACTGGGAGTGGGAACGGATTTAGTTGCATCGACTTTTCGACAAACCTCTATGATATTGAAAAATAAGTTGGCCACCGAAACTGATCAGCGATAGCCCATACGCCGGATACTCTACAACATCCAACAAACCGGCCGCTATGGACTCACCTGTCGCGGATGTCTGGTCCCTTCTATCCAACAGAAATGGCAGTTCCTTCCCTTGCAGCAAAAGGCCGATCCTCTAACAGCAGGTCGTTCTTTGGCAGAAGGACCACTGTCCTTTTCGGCGGCAGCAGTTTACTCCTTCAGCAGCAGAAGCTGTACTCTTCAGCAAGAGCAGCAGTCCTGTTTAGCAGCAGTATCCGTCCTCTTCAGCAGCAAATTCCTCCCCAGCTTCCTCAGCAGCCGCCGTCCCGGTCCCGTCCCCACGCCACCCCACCGCACCAACACCTGTACCCTCAGCCTCGCCGTCACACGGCACTGTCACCCGGACCGCGGGCGGCGTCACCCCGCGCGTCACGGCGTCACGCTGTCACTGCCGTCACCGCCGCCACTGGCCAGCGTCACGACCGCGCGCGCCCGGCTGCGCCGCTACCGCCGCCTCACAGTCGATACGGACCGGGCGGCGCGGCGGCGGCGGCGGCGGCGGCCCGGCGATCAATACACGCTCCTCCTGCAATGGAGCGCCGGCCCGGCCCGAGGGGAGAAAATGACAGGAACTGGCCGCACCGCACCGCCGGCTAGGGAGGGGCGACGGGTCGCCAACTGCCACACGACACGGATGCGAACAGGAAACGACGCACGCGCGCGGCGGCGACAGGAATATATGATGAGTGTTGATTTATGAGGGTGGTTATGAGGTATCACGTTTCAAAGTTTGTCAACCTGGAAGTATATCCTCAATTTTTCATCTATCCCGGTCGCTGAACGCTGCCGGGTGCCGTCGAGTCTCGTCGTTCGGCCCCATGCCGCCGGGCCGGTTAGCTCTGTCGGTTTCGGTCCGGGCCGGTTGGGGCGCGGCGTTTTGACGCGTTGTTTGAAGTCCTGAGTGGCCCGGCCGGGGTCACCCCGACTGGGTGAGTGGAGCAAGGACAGATCTGTCTGCTGTGTCTGAACTGAATAAACGGACCGGCATGCGGGCGGAACTCTGAACTGGGACGGTCGACGGCAAACGGGAGACGGTGGCGAGGCCGAGATGATGAGAGGCACATATAGCGGACGAGGGCGAGCTAGAGAAAACTACTAAAAAATTAAAATAAATAAAGCACGCACAGTCGCTTAAAAGCGTGGTATGGGTCATTCAGTAGTAAGCAGGAAAAGAGCAAAACATTGCATGAGCTGGTATGACGATTTTTTTTTTTTTTTTTGGCAGAAGTGTGTCGACTTTTTATCGGAAAAGGATGTTTGTTGTCCCTCATAACGTTTACAAAATACTACCACGCCCATGCGTGTCAAGACCAGAGAAGTAGTCAACTGTCAATGAGCAACATAGGCCATGCTCTCGTAAGACTTGCACGAGTTATTCGATCTTACTCGAACGAGCTTTTGTAACCGCTATTCAACCAATCCAATCTCGCACCCGAACCACGCTCAGAAAACGCCTGGTGGTCACGGCTGTTTTTCCGCTGCGGACTTCCGTCCTGGTTCCCCGCTGGTCTCGCGGCGGTTCGGTACGTTTTCAGAGCGGGCCTGCAACGGACGTCCGCGCTCTGACGGCTACAAACGACCTCACCTAAGCCGGCGGCGCCAGCTGGCCAAACAGTCGGCCGTCAGTCACGGCAAAAACTGCTCCATAGTGGGACGGCGCAAGGGCGCGCAGAGAGGTCAGGGACGCGCTACAAAAGGCTGGTGGTAATCTTGGGCTGGTGGGTGGAGGAGTGGACGCGACGCCGGTTATAGAATAGTTATGGTAGTCACATCGTGAAAATCGGCTACCGACACCGCTAGGTAATTTTGGTCTAACCTAAAACGTAAATATCCACGCATGACACTTCCAAAGCATGCTCGTAGCTCAAAGGATGAGTCCGAAATGACGACAGTAGCAACGAAAGACGACGGTAATTGTCTTTCAAAATGCATCACCTTATTTCCAGCTGTGTCAGCATAACTACAGCATTTTAGGCGCAATTTCAAAAAGTCAAAGACCAAATTCAAAACGTTCACGTGCATTTTGAACGTAAACTTTTTTAATTTGGCCTTTAACTTTTTGAAATTGCGCCTAAAAAGGTGTAGTGACGAACTGAATTTGCTCCTACGGTGAAAGAGAATATAATTGGAATTAAAACGGATCCATGCCCCTGACACGAAGGAATGCATGTGAAATCCTATTGCGGTCGCCTTCGATCGATAGTGTAACAAGGCCGACGACAGTTGAAGAGCAGAGTGCAAATACTGACGGGAAACAAGATCACATGGCATGGTGTGAAGTGGAATAATGCGAATCGTTTTAATCAACGCCTGATTTATCGCTTTTTATATCGGTGAATGAGTGCAGTCTTTGAAAACGGCACAAGCTTTCGATTCTTCGTACCATAAAACATTGATAAAAACGTGAGATTGGGGCAGTTGAAATATATTTGTTAGATTAATCACCGAATATAGATCGGCTCACATTCCTAGCCACAAATACCTGACGGCCAAATAGTTTAGCCACAATTAGGTCAAGAACTTGTCATCATCATTGGCGATTCACAAACATGCTATATCAAAACCTGATGTGGCAAAACAAGCGGGACGCATAGTAATTAGTATCCTCCAGACTGGCACTCCAACATTGATTGCATTGACGTTACAGCCTTATTGGTTATTCAATCAACGTCGCGCATTCATTTATCTCGCGGACGTACGAGTAGATGCAATATGTGGGGAGCTAGAGCAATCATCAGTATTGCAACAAAGTGTGCGATAGGCCGATGGGTAAATAGCCCAGCGCGCACATGTGTACTTATCCTGCTCAGACCACAATCATGCCTGGCTGCACAATAATTCGGTTTACGCGACAAACGGCTGGCAGTATAAAGAACCACGTAGGACCATGAGTAAAAAACGGATCAAAGATGCTTCGACCGTTTCTGTCCCATAAGCACTGCGTGAATACTCTATAAAACTTAACATTCACACAAACCACAACCACACATACAGAAAATATCAACCCACTATACTGCACCGGAAAAGCCGCCCGAGACTACCTGGCTTCACCGGAAAGCTCACACGGCGATGGCAGCGACCTCTATATTAACCCCGTGCCGCAGACATCCGCTAGATGGTGCTGCCCAGCATACCTCCGTTGACGTTCATGACTGCGCCGGTAATGTAGGAGGCGTCGTCGGAGCAGAGGAAGGACGCTACGCCAGCCACCTCCTCCGGCTTACCGATCCTGAGAACCGGCAGTGCGTAAAAAACAGTGTATCAGTGTAAAAAAAAAAACAGCATGAAAACCCAAACTGCGGCCCAAGGCTCAGCTACACTCGTACATTTTGTCATACTTCCAATTTATCGACTTATTTCAACATTGGTTGCTTGACTGAGGGAAAGGGCTGAACGAGACACCATGTACTAACCGATAAATGCACAATAATAAAAACTAACCTTCCCAGGTAGATGCTCTTCTCCAAACTCTTTCGGATGGAGTCGTTTTTGACCAGCTGAAAAAAAAAACATCGCCGGTCAGAAGAAAATATAATGCGCTTACTTTCCCTGCTATTTACATCATCGCCTATTTCACAAAGCGCATTATGAATAATGCGACATCCGGTAAGCCAGGTGGTAGATATGAACAGATTTTCGCTGCAGCACGAGAACATTAGCGTCTCTGAGCTCGGCGTTTTATACTGTTCCGCTAGAGCTAATTCTTATACTTGTCTTATTACTTATATACTTATAAAGTTCGGAAATTCGTACACATCCCACTGTCAGCACCATCTAACTGTATTATCGTCTAACACAGTCATTCCTGCTCCGACTACCTCCCCTTCTTCCACCCTCGGCGGTCGACTCACCACGGAGCTGAAGCTCGTGTCGATGAAGCCCGGAGCCACGGCGTTGACGCGGATGTTTTTCGGGGCGCACTCCTTGGCGAAGAGGTCGCTGACACCGATCAGAGCCTTCTTGCTGACGGAGTAGGCTGCGATACCCTGTAACGAGCCGGGGGGGGGGGGGAGAGATTATAAACTACGGCAGCTTACTGGCACGGGATAACCACTTAAAACAAACCTACTCAATAGCCCCCCCCCCCCCCAAAAAAAAAGATATCAGCGAAGCCGAACTGACGATACGAGTAATGCAACCGACAAATGCATTATCGACCCCAACACTTGACTTGAAACAAATTACATACCCAAACATAAGAGCTGCACCTAACTGGGGATCACGTTTCACCATGGCGGAAATCTGTTCCGCACATCCCACTCTCACCATGCTGGGAATCTGTCCGACGACAGACGCGATGAAGACAATGGAGCCGCCGCCGCGCGCCTCCATGTAGGGCACAACCAACTTGGTCAACAGGTAGGCCGACTTGACGTTCACGTCGAATATCTTGTTCCAGCCGGCCTCCGGGCACTGCAGCACACACGAAAACAAGGGTAGGTTATGGGAGGCAGGAGGAGCCAGGTGATACGGTTAGGTAACTGAATTGTGATGGGGATAAAAAAGGGTAAAAACAGAAAACGCACTTTGAACAAGTAAAAATAAAAGCTTTATCGAGCCAGTTTATCGATGGTTTACAGGTTCGTTGCCGCACAAGGTCTTCGAATATCGTTCGATATTGCGATCCCATATCTATTCTAACGTAAACAAACAGTGGACCCGTACGACTGCCCAGTCATGGACATGGTCATTGTATATTGTATACGTTTCGAACAGTAAGAAACACCGACGAGGGTATAAATCGAGTGGGATCAGTGGCGTTTAATGTAGGTATGTGTGTCCACAGTCTTTGACCACTTTGTACGGAAAGAAACGAGGTTCAGGGGGTTCGGTTCACCACCACTCGTTTTCTCTTTTAGGAAGCAATGACGACTTACATCCAGGAGGCCGCCGTACACGGGGTTGGTAGCCGCATTGGACACCAGGATGTCGATACCACCGAACTTCTCAACTGCCTAGAACAGAAACGAAATTATTCACAGAATGCAAACAACACATCCATACCGCAGAAATCCTCTCAATAGTCTTATTCGAACGGAATACCGAACAAATTAGGTCGAGTTAAGAGTGGTAGCAGCGTGCAAGGACCTCTAACACAATCTCAGCTTTTAAACCGATAAATTATAACGATAAAATATCCCGCAGTTCAGTTGGTAAACCGTTTGGACTGGTGATGAGAGCCCAGGTCCCAGTCGCCCCGGCGCTCGACGCATGAGATGGGTCATGTTTGCGTTTGGTGGAAGCAGCCGCTGCAGGTAAGTCAATGAATTTCTCCCGATTACACGAAATAACCTGATCGTTAGGCAGGGGTCAGATGTTGCGCGATAATGCATTAGTGCATACAGTAATTGAGTTGTGATGGAGGAGAAGATAAAGGGTAAAAATAGAAAACGCAGTTTAAATAAGTAAAAATAAAGGCGGCGGCTATCATACAGCATTAATCAAAATATTTGAAACAATCAAACTATATTTTAAAATAGCCCCTATCGGTTCATTTCTCACCCTCTCGACGAGCGCCTGCCTCTCGGACGGGTTACCGACGTGGCATTTGACGCCGGCCACGTTCAGGCCCTCGCCGCTGAGCTGCTGTACCGTGGTGTCGACATTCTCCTGCTTCCTGCTGCTGATCACCACCTGGGCGCCCTGCTGGCCGAGCCGGCGCGCAATGGCCAGTCCGATCCTGAGGGAGAGGTCAGGGGTCAGTGCTGGCGGCATTGAGAGGCCCTCAGCCGTGTGTACTGACTTCTGAAACTTATGTAGCGTGTCATAGTGTCCTGCTCTCCAGTCTTATCTAGCTCAAGAACTAAGACCACGTCAAGATTCATACAACCAACCTGACTAGCTCGCATTGGCCACAATCGACCCAGGTGGACCCCTGCGCTATTAAATCCGCCTCTGAATGGCCATTGCACAATGCACAGACACCCTGGTCAGACCACTGGTCACTGACGGGCCCTGCTGCTGGTATGTGCTCAGGCTGCCTTAGCCAGTAGATGTGCTAGACCAGATGCTTTCTAGTGGGTGAGCACTCAGTTCTACATTCAGCATCCTGCTGGCTTCCTCTGCTGTTTTCTGCCAATCCAGTTATGGCACAAGTTCCGTACCAACTGGGCTTCCCAGTTGAGAATTACTGTTGCGACAACAGTTTGCAACCACCAGGCTCTGTCAGCTGTCTTACAGCTCACAGACAGGCTTTTTGTTAGATCAATCACAGTTTGCAAATAGCTTGTCATAAACATTTATCAAGCAAATTATAGTGTGCTCATTCCTTTTTTGCAACTCCTGCAGCTCTCAGGGTGTTCAGAAGGTGGGGAAAATCCACTACTATCTAGTGACCTAAAAGGGTGAGGATCATTGCCTGATGGTCAGCAATGTCCACTTTCCAATGCTCACTCAGGTCTCAGAATGAATCTATTTAAACTATAATCTGGACCCGCAAACTGCTGACTTATAGTAGGGTCTTAAAATTCACCATTCAACTAAATGAACTATACATACCCAGCAGTAGAAGCGGTGACAATAGCCACCTTTCCAGCCAGAGAAGATGTCATATTTCAGTTTAGTTGATTCAAGCTAGAACACAAATACCAATCAACAATTAGATATAAAGGCTGTTTACTTTGACAAAACATAAACCATCAGCAGGCATATCAGTGCAGAAGTCTACTTCCGAAGTCCATACATTTCTCTTAACATTTTATCACTTTAGTTTAGTAGCTAGGTTTTTGGGTCATGATCATATTGGTATTAGTAGAGCAGACGTCACACGAAGGTTTTCCAACCAAGGAGAGGCGCTATGCCTGGAGACACTTCTTTCTAACAAAACCTAAACAAACCTAACCTAAGAATCCTACTCAGGCATAAATTAGCAGAAATCGAAATTGGACACTCACCTCTGTAGTGTTGGACCTCAACGGTGACTCAGTGTGTTGCCTCCCTCAGGTGTGTTGGCCTCTCAGCAACGGGCTGTGAATAAACAAGCTAGGGCAGACGACTTCTTTACACTGGCGACGAGGATGTCACTCATCCCTGATGCCGGCCTCGCGACAGCCGGCAAACCCTGTGTCCTGGGAACCGACCCCGCCAGATACCACGACATCTTCGAAGAGTGGCTTGAACATGCCAGCCTCCTCGTCAACTCCCTTGGTGTGACCGATGACACACAAAAGCTCAACCTGCTCCTCCTGTGGGGAGGCCGCGACCTACGGAAGCTCGCTAAGGTAGCAGGAGTCGACACAGAGTCAGACCCTCCCACCACCTTCAAGGCCGCCATCGTCCAGATCCGGGCGCACTGCAGACAGCATGTCAACCTGTCCATGGCCGTCTTCCGGCTCATGCATGCACGGCAAGGAGAGAAGACCGTGACTGAATTCCTCGATGAGTTGGACTCGCTTGCCACCCAGTGCCAGTTTGACACCAACCCCTACACTCCAGAGCGGGCCAAGAAAGACGCCTTCATCTTCGGTACGTCAGACGAGCGCCTGAGACAAGAAGCCCTGGCCAGAGACCCCGACTTGCAGACGCTCGTCAAGTCGGCCCTGGGATATGAGCAGGCCAGGAAATCCAGCGGCGCAATTCAGTCAGAAGTGGGAGAGTCTGTGGCACGGGTAGCCACCAGAGGGCGCTACAGCATCAACCAGCCAACGAGGACACCCAGTGGCCAGGGAGGCCGAGGTGCGGGCCCACGTGTCAGGTGCAAGAACTGCCCGCCGCACTACCGACCGCACCCGCCGGGCCGCTGTCCGGCTAGGGGTAAGACGTGCGCTCTCTGTGGTGAGAAGAATCACTTCGTAGGAGCTGCTAGCTGCACCAAGGCTCAAGTCCGCTTCACTGCTGAAGACGATGAGGAAGCGTACCAGTTCGAGGTGGACGACAAGAACAGCGTGGGTCGTGTCGTGGAGGTCGGCATGATCCAGCCTGGACATGCAAACGTTGTTCAGGTGTCTGTCAACGGCACCGCCACCTCCTTCTTCGTGGATTCCGGCTGCAACAAGACGCTCATCCCTGTCAGCGCCTACCACGCGTCCCTTGGCAAACTGGAGGCATCATCCGTCAAACTGAGGCCGTACGGGACAGCAACCCTTCTGAGAGTGAAGGGAGAGATGCGAGCCACCCTTCAGAGTCGAAACGGGGCACAGTGTCACACGACTGTGTACATCATCGATGGACACTTAGCGGAGCCGCTTCTGGGTGACGCGGACGCCAAGGCGCTTGGCATCCTCCACATCGACGCCGGCGGATCGGCTCGCGAGGGGGAGCCACCCGGCCATGTTGTCGGCGTGGCAGGAATCGTCGACACCCTCGCAGCTGCTGGCGTGACAGTGCAAGCCAAGAAATGCACGAGTCAGGATATTTCCGGCGACGACAGACGTAAGATCGCAGCAATCGTCAATAAGCACAAGAAGGTATTCGAAGGAGTAGGCCTCCTGAAGGACGATGAAGTCTCCTTCCACATTGATCCGGAGGCGACCCCAGTCGTCGCACCCTACCGTCCTGTTCCCCTGGCCTACCAAGAGCGTCTCAGTGCTCACCTAGCCGAGCTGCGAGCGGAAGGAAAAATCGAAGACGTCGGACCACAAGAAGAGTGTCCATGGATCTCCAATGTCGTCATCACCGAGAAGAAAGAAGCTGGGAAAATCAGGATGAACATCGACATGAGGGAGCCCAACAAAGCCATCCGGAGAACGCCGCGACATGTGACAACCGTCGCCGAGATGCGCCATATGTTGGAAGGAGCGAGAGTCTTCTCGGAACTGGACATGAGCCACGGTTTTCACCAGCTGGCTCTGGCAGAGGAGTCGAGAAAGATGGGTGCCTTCCGCACTCACGAAGGCCTGCACCGCTTCAAGGTACTGTTCTTTGGAGCGTCGCCAGCATCTGACATCTTTCACGACCGCATCAGTGCCACCCTGCGCGGATTGACGGGATGTACATCTATACACGACAACATCCTCGTGTGGGGCAAGACCGCAGAAGAGCATGCCACGAACCTCGACGCATGCCTCCAGAGACTGCAAGAAAGAGGACTAACTCTGCGAAAGGAAAAGTGCACCTTCGGATCCGAAGAAGTGAACTGGTTCGGCTGGGTCTTCTCCAAGTCCGGCATGTCGGCCGACCCCCGCAAGGTCAAAGCGATCAGGGAAGCGGGACCTCCCCAGACCACCGACGACGTACGCAGCTTCCTTCAAGCTTGCCAGTACAATGCGCGCTTCATGTTCAACTCTGAACAAGCGTACGCTCAGCTGACCAAACCCTTGCGAGAACTCACAAGAAAGCACGCCAGGTTCATCTGGAGCAAGGAGTGCGAACAGGCGTACCAAGCCATCTTGAAAGCAATGACAAGTGAGACGGCCTTGCGGCCGTTCGACCCCCAGCTGCCCACCAAGCTCGTCACAGACGCGGGACCAGATGGCATCGCCGCCAGCCTTTTCCAGGTCACAAGCGATGGGACCTGGATACCGATCGACCACGCAAGTCGCTCACTCACGCCGTGCGAACAGAGATACTGCCAATTCGAGAAAGAGTCTCTGGCTCAGGCGTGGGGTATGAACGTCTATCGCCACTACCTGCTGGGAATACGGTTCGACTCCGTTACGGACCACAAGCCCCTGCTCGCCGTCTACAATGGGAAAAGGCGAGGAAATGCTCGCGTCGAGCGGCACAAACTGCAGACCCAAGAGTTCCAGTACCAGATGGTACACCTTCCAGGGAAGGCGAACCCATGCGACTACGCTTCGAGACATCCGATGCCGCTCTCCTCGTACCACGCAGCGCAGCTGGACGACATGATCCTGTACCGTCATGATGAAATTTGCATCAACGCGGTCATCTCGGATGACACGCCGGACGCCATCAACATCAAGGAAGTCCAGGAAGCGACTGCGCGAGACCCGCAGAGCCAAAAGCTGATCAAGTGCATCCAGCAGGGCTACATCACTAGGGACCCAGACCTCGACCCGTTCCGCCAAATCTTCCGAGAGTTTAGCTTCAATCGAGGAGTTCTCCTACGCGAAGACAGGCTCTACATCCCCGCCTCTGAGCCTGAACCTGGGGCTGGGAGCCTCCGACAGCGGGTGGTTGAGCTCGCGCATGAGGGCCACCAGGGGGTTGGCCGGTGCAAAAGGCTGCTGCGAGCGCAAGTCTGGTTCCCTCATCTGGACGCGCTCGTCGACGAGAAGATCTCCAAGTGTCTGGCTTGTCAAGCCTCGACGTTCACTCCAACCAGAGACCCGCTAAAACCGACCCCCTTGCCTGAACGCCCATGGCAAAGGGTGGCAGCAGACTTCTGGGGTCCTCTGTCGAGTGGAGAGCACCTCCTGGTCGTCATCGACGAGTACAGCCGCTATCCTGAAGTAGAGATCACTTCTAGTACTAGCGGGCTGGCGACCATCCCCGTCCTCGACAAGATATTCGCAACCCACGGCATCCCGGAATCAGTGAAAACGGACGGTGGCCCCCCATTCAACGGACACGACTTCGCCATGTACGCGCGCTGGGCTGGCTTCACGCACCGCAGGGTCAGCCCCGAAGACCCAGAGGCAAATGGCCTTGCAGAGGCCTTTATGAAAACCATAAAGAAAACATGGCATACGTCCCGCATCGAAGGGAAAAATCCCAAACAGGAGTTGTACAAACTCCTACGACAGTACCGCGCAACACCGCACCCCAGCACTGGGAAACCCCCCGCGGAACTGCTCTTCAACCGGCCGTTTCGCACCCGGCTGCTGACAGCTGAGAGGCCAACACCTGGAACACCGTCTCATGACGTGCAGAAACACGACGCACGGGCGAAGGATGTACAGAAGGCCTACAAGGACACCCCCAAGAACGTGCGACCTCACAACATTCAAACAGGCGATACGGTTCTTCTGCAGCGCCGGTCTACCAAGACGGCCTCACGCTACGACCCAGAGCCCTACAAGGTCGTCCAGATGAAGGGAACGCAGATCACCGCCACCCGCGGTGGATCTACCCTCACCAGGGACTCGCAGAAGTTTAAACGGATCGTCCGTCCCCAGCGCCCTAACTACAAACGGCAGCGCTTTCCACTGACGCTGCATGGCAACAGCGACGAACCGCGTCTGGGATCAGACTGGCCTACCCCCCCAGCCACGGTCAACGGCGCGGCAGGCCCTCCACACGCTACGGCCGAGACCTCCAGGCCTGCGGAACTGCCCCCGCCGCCGCCGACCGCCGCCGCCCCGCCCAGCCGGCGCTCGGCCCGAGCTCGCCGGCTGCCCTCACACCTCGCGGAATACGATCTCTCTTGAGCGTGCGGCACCGCCCCCCCCCCCCCCTCCCTTCCCACACATATAACTTAAAGCGCAGATTTTGTTCGCCGCGGCATTGGCGGCCACGGCCGTACTGGCGCGGCCAAGCTGTCGGGCGGTGTTATCCTGTTCGGCGTTATCTCAGGGAGCGTCTTTTCTGTTTTGCTTTTGTTGTGGATAGCTTTCGAAGACGTGGTACTCATGCCTTCCTCATGCATGTTCGTTCGGCCCACATTTCGCGCTGCGAGTAATCACTGGTTCGCCACGCTTCAACCCCCTCCATATAGGTGCGCGGCCACCGCTGGTGTTGTGTTGTTGGACCTGAGGAGGGGTGTAGTGTTGAGCCTCAAGCTCCACATCACTTAATGGCTGTGCTGCAGCTCCCTGTGTTGACCTGAGGAGGGGTGTAGTGTTGGACCTCAACGGTGACTCAGTGTGTTGCCTCCCTCAGGTGTGTTGGCCTCTCAGCAACGGGCTGTGAATAAACAAGCTAGGGCAGACGACTTCTTTACAACCTCCCAACACGCACGCTTCCAAACTCAAGTTTCATTTATATGTTTTGTTTCATTTGCGCAGTATATGTCTTGCATCTGGTAGCAAGGCAGAGGAAAAAATAAAAACTTTGGCCTTAGAGGACACTTGCAATTATTTGTTTCATGCATAACTTTTGCCATTATATGCTATCAATCCTTTAACTTAGATATATTTACAACAAAATTTCGGGTATTTGCTTTAAAAAATAAGGCAAAGTATTAAAATGATAGAACGAAAAGAAAAATACCTAGGAGGAATTTATTCACCGAGTAGAAAAATAATGTTCCGATGCAGGATGTTTTTCGCACAGCGGATATCGCTTATCGTATAATGTATATGGTGGAACGAGGATTTAGATAGTTTTGGTGTGGAGATCCCTTGTCAGTCCCCAATAAGTCGAAAAGAACAGCAGTTCACATGTAATTTGCCTTTTCTTTGACTGCTAAATATCGCTGAGGAAATTCTTAAATCAGCTGATTGCTATTCGCCTTGGGCGATATCCTGCGCGTTGGCGTGTGGCGCACGCGGCGTCGAGAGAGAAAAACAATAATTTTTATTTTGATTTGGCGGGGCTGCGATTTCGCACTATTGTCGGTAAGATATAACTTTGTTTAAGCTTTTTCATAATTTATTGATTTATATTATTTTACTATCAGACACTGCTTGAATGCTCAAGCTCCGTGTAAGGTCAAGGTAGATTAGCAGTGGCTCATGAACAAGTTAGAGTGTGGATCAGGATCAAAATGGTGGATATAATAAATATTAATATAGTTATACATATTTATAACTTACCACTGATCAGAATAAAGTGCATGATGGTTGAAAGGTTTTGGGAAGCACTAGAAGTTTTGCTAGTTCAAGTGAATGTCGTGTTGATGTCTTGTCATGCTTAGGTAGGCATTTGAGAAATGTCAGTGCATTTTAATTCATTTTCAATGCAGACTGAATGATTGATGCATTACTTAGCCACTATCTAACCGTGCAGTTTTTTATAAATCAAAATCCAGATTGAGTCATTAGGTACGCTTTTGGTTTTGTATGGAACTCAGCAACTATATTGTAATTGTTGAATTTTCCAATGCCAATTACCTGCATCAATTTGAGAACAAGATGTTGCTGAAATAAGGCAAGCTTTAGTTGCTCTTTGCCTTGGATATGGTGTTTCATTTATTTATGCTAGGGGTTGGGGTATGATTTGGAAAACTGTAGTGTTTTTAAATAAAATTGGTAACCATTTTTAATCTTGACTGATGTACCTGTATTAAGGTCACCGGTAACGAGGTTTTACCTGTTGGTGCCAAATAAATCATGCAACCATAACTCCTCTTGTTATATGAATTATAGCTTAATCTAATCTTACATAGTTGTTGGGAATTAGTTTTTTTCCTTTTTTATAGGTTAAGTAGGCTCTGATTGCCAGCTTATCAGTCATGATTTGATTTATGCTGCTGTTGGCAATTAAGTTTTTCATTAATCTTTTTCCAATATTTCAGGCACAACATGACTGATTAATTATGATAATATGCTGAGTTAGCGTTTGATATTGCATTGTGCCTTAGATTGATAGAGGACTGAAAAATATGGATGGAAATTATGCCTCATTGCTGAGATGGTTTGAGGCTTTCTTAAAAAAGTACATATTAAGCTTCTGTAAGAAAGCATGTTTCACCCAGGTCTTGCTAATTTTATAGGAATATACATTCTTGGACGATACCGCGAAAACGAAATATTTCTATCGAGAGTTTTCAAAGGATTTCATGCACGAGGCCTTGGCCGAGTGCATGAAATTCTTTGAAAACTCAAGATAGAAATATTTCGTCGCGGTAGAGTCCTAGATATTATTTCCTGTATGTTTCTTAATATCGTTCGTTATTTGCTTAAAAAAGGCCGAAATATGCATAAATAAAATACAGTAACATTAACTACACATTAAATACTGAAATACTGGCAGTTCTTATTACTTTACAGTTCAGCAAAGCTTACAAATTTTCTTAAAAACAGAAGCTGTCGATGAAATCAAGCTATCCAAGAAAACCATCCAAGAAAACGTCTCGCGCAAAGTTTCTTGGATGGCTGGATTGCATTGCAAGACTGCATCAAACATACAGGAAAGCATTTTAAGATTTGATTTATGTATTTTATGATTGCAGCATTAAACTCATTATTGGTAGCCACAAGGGCTTAAGAATTATTATATTTATTGATAATATAAGAATTATTATATTGTTTGCCAAATACATAGCAATTAGCATGTTATCTGTCAGCCTAGCTCATCTTAGGACTTAGCTCATCCTAGCTCATATTTATTATTTTGAGACATTTTCACTCTTATTTGTGTTTTAAAAGTCACATTTTCAAATATTTTATCTAAGAAGTGTTCTAAAATAAGCAATACAAAAGATAACTGATTTTTCATGAGAAATTGCGGACTCAATTGCCAGATGGCAGACAGAGACACTGAGCAGCAGAAGCACCATTATCAGAGTTAGCTTTTGGAAGAATATTTTTATTAGCAAGTACTTTCAGGAACCTCTCAACAACTACTTGTGATGCATTAGTTAGGCTGGTTCTTATTTTTCTTTTGAACTGGACATGACTATGTGGGTGGATAGCAAGCTGGCAGTAAGCTATCTGGTGACATCCAGGTTCAAGGCCACTTTATGACCACAAGTGCACACTCCGCTGAGTCACCAGTCTGCTGTTTTGACTGGTCACTGTGGCAGTGACACAGCCTGCTGCAGCAGTGACGCAGCCTGCTGCGGCAGTGACACAGCCTGCTGCTGTTTCCCTGATTTGACCGACTTCTGTCTCCTCATTAGGTCGGTGAGCCGCAACAATGCCTGGCCGCCAGTCGGATCCAGCCCTGGTCCACCAGGTCTGGGATGCCATCGAGAACTGCATGACACAGCGCCAGCAGCCCAACTTCGAGAGGGTCTCCAAATACGTCATGCGGAACAACGCCATCTCGCCAGGTAGGTGGGAACCATGGATGAGGAGCAGGGATTCTGGCGTGATCAAAGTTAGGACGACTCCGGGTTTGGTCTCGATAGAATATTTCGGCTCCAGTGCCGATTTAAATGTCCCGGCGCTTCTTCGCCTCGGCTCCGAGCTAAATCGAATATGCCGTGCGTGGTCTTCACATCCAAGTTGTGACAATGCATAGCTAAAAATATGAACGGGGCAGCGAGACGATCCTGATGGGATCGGATTGTGCCGTTCGTCGATAATTCCAAACTGGTCTTTGTGAACTGTCACGCTTCGTGCCGCACGGAGAACAAGATGGCAAAGCAATGCGAAGAGGAAGGCAGAAACGTAGCACTCACTATACCGTGAGCCGTTTAATAGATAACGATAAAGGCCGCCCCACACTGGACCTCGCATGCGGGTTGCGAGTTTGCGGGTTTTGAGTTTGCGGGCATAATACTAATTCATAGAGTGATCAGACCGTTCCCTTATGGTAACTTCATGAATGCCGTGAAGCCGGTACACCTTCAGAAAATTACATATAGTCGCAATACCAGCGCAACGAACCAAAATTCGACTACAACGAAAAACCCGCAAACCTCGCAGAACTCGCAGACCTCGCTGCGAGGAAAATCGATAGTTGACTCAAAATCAACTTTTGGAATGCGATACAAGGTCGCTCGCAAGCTAAAACATGCAGACTCGCTTGTTAGATAGTAGTGTGGGTCACTCAGCTTAGATTGTATAATTTGATCTTGAAGAAACCCGAAAACCCGAAAACTCGCAACCCGCATGCGAGTTCCAGTGTGGGGCGGCCTTAAGGCTGGTTTCTAATGATGAAGCATATCCTTTGTAGAGTAGGACAAAACGTTGAAAAAGAGGGCATCGGTTACAACCAACAAAACATGAGCCTTCTGCTGATAACTGTCGTTGAAGCGCTATGTAGGGGCAGTGCGATTATTTCGTGTTCTTTATTTTGCAGCTCAATCTCATGTACAGAGTCAGTAAGACGTTACTCTCATTGGAAAGGTTTCTTTACATAACATTTGGAAGGGTGTGGAACTGGAGCCGTATGAAAGGTTTAGTAGAGCCGGAGCCGTAAAAAAATTAGGGACACCAGCCTGCAGCTCAGACACATGAGCATAATCATTGTGCCATTACCTTGTAACTAGAAGTATCGGTGAAGGAGCTCTCGGCCAATGTTGTGTCGGTCTGTGGGGTGCCCGTCGTGTGTGAAGAACGACTGCTGACAATCAATCTCGAGAGGAAAGTCCCACAGCGATGGCAGGAGTTTGGGCGTGATCAAGGATACACTACAAATACATATACCTAGTGATGTCTCATTGGTGGGTAGTTGTTCATCATATCGAAGTTATTTGCAGCGTAAGTTGGTCGGGTACGGTCGGATCATAAATAATGTCAATATTCAAGCTTCAGGTCACCTTGAGTCGGGCTCCAACAACTGATCGTTTGTGCCTCTTGCGTGAGAGAATGCCTTGCGTCTCCATAGCAAGGCACGAGGAACGATTAGAACCGGTATCTCGATAGCAAAACACCGTCAGGCCCGCTTCTCCCAATTAGGTACCTCAGAAATTCGCACACAAGGAGGTCGCCACTGAGAATCGCAACTACCGTATCCGTGACACAATATATTGTTTCTTTGCGAACACGGAAACGTTAAAGACACAACACAAGCCACGGAGTAGGCAAGGCCCGACCAAGTCTTCGTCAATGCGCTTTTCCAGCACACCGCACACCAGACCACGCTAAACCCCGTTAGCGAAGTGTCCCGTCACGCCGTACGGCGGACCCGACATGACCTCGCCAGTGCCCGGAGCGAAGCACACCAACCGCCAATCGCCGGTCCGCTCGACCACGCGGGTCACCGGCCGGGTCAGACGAGACGTAGCCCCCGGGCGTTACGTGGTCTGGGGAGTCAGGCCGCCCGCCGAACGGCTGGATAAAGGGCAACCTGATACAGCCGTCAGTAAAAAAGCAAGATCTTGATAGACAAGTATAATTATTTCACTAAAATGCATAGGTACAGCCCTAGCAGACTGCGTGGTAGGTATTCTTTTTTCGACAAAACCGATAATTACTCAAAGGCTATGTCCACAGTCGGTCGGAACTCACTTCAAATAGATGCGCCATGCTCCACTCCTTCGATTGGGTCTATCACTAAACAAAGTATACGGCTTGTGTGGCAACAAGACACAAAAGTTTGTTTTGGGGGCAAATATAAACTTTTGAGGTCTGTTGCCAAACTGGATGGAAAATGAATACGATGATAATGCCAATCTAAGGTGCGGTGTCTCGCGCGTCTTGCTGTTACGATTTTCGAGTCAACGATAGCATATTATTCGCGTTATTCTCGGTTTTGTCGGAAAAAAAAGAATAGGGTAGACCGGGGCAAGTCGCCCCGCCGAGGTAAAACGCCTCACCGATGTTTCTCGGAACTGGCAAGGTTCTGGGGAAACATCCTCTCTTCTATAAAACGTGCACTATACGATCATTATATGAGCAGACTGGAAAGAAATTGTGATGACTCTTTAGGGAGATATAGCCAAAAATGTGTTTTTGGAGTGATTTTTATGTTTTGTTGTCAGCTTATGCATCATGGCGTTCTTTTATCGTCCACATCAGGTTAACGACTTTTATGTATTTTGAACAACTATTGTCTAACGCTTATAATGCCGGATTGGTTCGTGTTAAATTATGTCTTCCTGGAGTGCAAGGCGTTGTTCTCTGACCGAACTACGCGATGGGGTAAAACGCCCCAGTAGGTCGCGGGGCAAAAAGCCCCATGGGGCGTTTTACCTCATGTGTTGTTCGGACTACCCACTTCCTAATGTTCGGTAGCTGGCGAATGGTATGTTTCTATGCATTTATATGTACTTTTCTCAGCAACTGGATGGCAAAGGAAGTATTTTGTTAACATTTGCATTGCAATAATTTATTATTTGGCCTTATGAGGCAGGTGAAAAACCTGCTCATACAATAGTGTCGTAGCTGAACATCTGATAGGATGGAAGGTGTTAACTTCAGTGCCGTGCCTCCCAAGGTCTAACGGACCTCTCATATAAGATTTAGTCAACTAGCATGTTAAATCTTTAATCTAGAGTATGGGGCTTCTTGCCCCAGGCCGTGGGGCGTTTTGCCCTGGGGTTGGGGCAAAACGCCCTATTTGCAGTTGCTTCACAAACCACTTCCTAGCTGGGAGTCCGATCATAAGTGAATGAATTTGAGGGGTGGAATTTAAAGTAAAATGTCCAAAGAACGCATTGAGCACAAATTTGGCCTTCCAGGTGATGTGGGACAAAAGTTATGTAGCAAAATAAATTATCTGGGGCGTCTTGCCCCAGGCTACCCTACCTACCACGCAGTCTGCAGAGGGCTGTACATTGATAGCCCATTGTCCAGGAAAAATGATTGTCAGGTCAAGGCTTACCAACGTGCTGGCATGCATTTGTTTGCATGCATCGCTATTAAACCGAGTACATGTAATTCAGTGCTGACGTTAAAAGGAAACAATGCAAGCAACCAATAAGATATTACGTTTTCAGTGAGCTTATTTTCGTTATAGTTCACAGTTTTGTCATGTGCGACAATGTTCGGCGTACCGCAATGCAGTCAATGTTCAAGCAAATTAAGTGGTTTATGGAGCCTACATTTTCTAAAGAACCATTCATTCTGTATATCAGGCGCAACTTGAAATGTCGTCACCACCGCCGTAAAATTTGACCTTTAAAAATGTTCATAACTACATTGACGAGTCTCCGACTGCGTTCGCTCGTAGAGCTACGGCTACACAAACTCAGCGCTTCGCAACACACTTGGTAAACGTGCCTGGGAAAATCCACACCTGCTGTGTTCCGTGAGTCCTCCAGCTATTGACTTTGCAACAATGTTGTCCGCTATTTCAGAGGACTTTGAACAGGAGCTGAACAAGGTGGTGGCGGACGGGCTGGTGCGCTTCTTGCAGCGGCTCGGCGCCAAGGGGTCCAAGAAGGGAGAGGAGCAGGAGCTCTATAAACTGCCCAAAGGACCGGTCAGTATCCCTCCATGAGCGGCGGGTGGTGGTGGCAAGTTAATGTTTCTTTCAAATGTTTTGAGTTTAATACTTAGCGTCTGTCCCCTCTCTCGACAAGTGTAGCTGTCTTATCTCGTCGATATTGTGTGTGCTGAGCCGTGCTGTGCTGTGTTGCCGACCAGCGTATGCGCTGGGCAGTGGGCAGTTTCTGTGCACTGTGATGTAAGCTGTTCGTATACTGCGCCGCTGTACTATGCGATTGCAGGATGTGCGCAATGTACACTTTATTCTGATGTTCGTGCTGTCAACCGTTTGTGTTGTGCTTGTCTTCGGTGTACAGTGTACACTGTACATATACTGTACCGCTGACCTATATAGGTGGATTGTTCAGTGGCCACTGGCGCTGTACCTACATAACTACTGACCGTGTCTGCTCTGTGTGCGCCAGCCGCCGGCTTCCGACCACGACTGGTACTGCGGCACGTGCCACCAGCCGGGTGAGGTACTGCCTTGCACAACATGCACCAGCGTCCACCACAGCAAGTGTCTGACCGAGTCGCAGCGTCAGGAGCCGTTCAAATGTCCGCAGTGCCAGGTGGGTCACCGAGCTGGGCCGGGACGGGAAGGAAGGTTCCGGGTTATGTACTGTGCGGTTACGTTGTAGAGATGGACCAAGTGGCTGGAGTTCCGGGTCGTTGACGAAGTAAAGGAGATTGCAAAAGGCACAGTAATCATGACGATGATGTGTTGATAGTTAGGTCGGCGTTGATGGCGGTTGACAGTGGTGGGTCGATAAGTTGCGAGCCGTTTGGCAAACCATTAAGCTTTTCATAGATTGGATGGTCACCGGCTGATGAAGAGCAGTTTTATTGAATTTCCATCGATTTCATGTCACTTTGATGTCTAGTAATGAATGATTCATGGAGGAAGCGGGTGGCGGTTGATGGCATTTCAATTCACGCTCCTTTCACGGCTTAATTACTGCCCTCCGTCAATATAGATAGCATGTCCGCACATTTAACTTCAAAGACGCTTAGGATCATATATCATATTTCTCAGGACTTTCTTTAATGCAAGCTGCTTTTGTGTCTCTGGCCTGGCAATTTTTTCTTCCAATTTCGTGTTGATTGATGTTGATGGTTGTTTTACAGAATTCCGCCGCCGAGAAATGTGATATCAAGAAGAAGACGCTCAACACCCTGCTGGGCTACACCGTGCTCCGTCTGAAGGCCAGGGTAAGGCAGACAATAGAGACAGGCGGTTGCAAGCGTGTGCGACCGTGCTGTGCTGAAATTATGTTAAATTATTTCAAAGAAAAATGTATGTCATTTCACCACAGTGCGATTACCTACTTGCCGGGGATATTGTGACTATTGAAGTGCTTTGGGCCCGGGTGCTTCTTTCAAGTCAATGTAGGAGTTTACCACCGCTTTTAAAACAGCGGGCTTTAGCTGTTCTTAGATTCGGTTTTTAGTTGATACGTTTTTATAGGCTGCTACAGTTAGCCTTCCTGACCTTTGAAGATGCTGCCGCTGATGGTAGCTACTATAGGTCTTATATCTTCCAGCCCTGACCTAGCCCTGACCTGACCTGACCTGACCTGACCTGACCTGACCTGACCTGACCTGACCTGACCCGTACAGATGCTGCCGCTGACGGTGGCCGGCGCCGGGGTCCTGTCTCCCAGCTCCGACCCGGAGCAGAAGTTCCGCACAGAGTTCCTGCTGTACCGCCCGTTGGAGATCTACGACATCGAGGACAAACTGGACAGACAGGTGCGTGAACAGCATGATGTGTACATAAATGAATTGATAGGTACCAGTTTTGTTGTAAAATGCTGCTTTCGTTTTATGGCAGGAGCATTAGTATTTTAGAGTACTCTCACATTCCTAGAGGTACAGCTGCTGACGCCTGTTATCTAAGCGTGTTGTGATGACGGTGACATTAACTTTGGTTATTTTGTATTGCAGGTGTACAGCAAGATCTCAGACTTTGAGAACGATGTGCGGTTGATGGTGCACAACATTGTCGTCATGAATGGAGGTTAGTAGTCAGTTACATGGTCGGTATGGAACACTGCAATAAACTGAACCGTGATATGTATGTCAACCGTTTTGGAAGCAGGAGTTAATTGCCAAAGGAGTCTTCAAATATAATGAATGCCTGTCGGTATTATGAGTTGCTTTTGAATTGAGGCTCTTGACTCAGCCATCGGACGCTGCTTTGTCTGGCCCACAAAGTCAGTGGTCGGCCTGATATGACCATTGACCATGTCTGTCCCATGCCAGTGATTTCGGCCTGACCTCGTCTCATCGCAACCCGCTTAACCCGTCCGTCCCCTCCGTCAGCCGAGTCGCAGGCGGCGTCAGTGGCCAGCCAGGTACTGCAGGACTGCCTGTACGACATTCAGGAGATCCGCATCTGCCGCGACTGTTACCGCATGTCCAACGAGAAGCCCGGAAAGAACTGGTTCTGCCGACCCTGCCGACCGCCGCACCAGCTCGTCTACGCCAAACAGAAGGGCTATCCCTTCTGGCCGGCTAAGGTAGGGAGATAGAGTAATCTGGCGACTTTTTACAGGCTACAGCTGCTGCATTGTGTGCAGTGAGAATGGGATATAGTTATCTTGGGAGAGGAGTGCAGCTGGGCCCTGTGGAGTTTCAAGTATAACTTGCTGGCTTCTGTGCTGATTTTCATTTTGGCTCTAAAGCGCTGCGGGGTACGAAAAACATGGGATTTTAAAGAAAGATATAAAATAATGTTAATGAAAATCCAGCAAGTTTTATATCAATGTTGCATGTTGTTAAAATATCTTAGATGCGACACTCCCACTTAAATGTTTTCCGCTTCGTGGTGTAAGCATCACTGTCGATCAGCTTGTCCTGCCGCTGACTATCCGACTGTTCTCAGGTGATGAAGATCGAGAACGAGATGTACGACGTGCGGTTCTTCGGTGAGCCCCACGAGCGGGCCATAGTGTCCCGCAGCCAGATCCGGCCCATCACCACCTCCCTGCAGGCCATGCAGGTAAGCACGCCGACTCATTACTAGTGATGGGACAGGTAGATTGGTGAATTCGTAGTTGTTTTTATTGGGTAAACTGGAAAGGAGGAGAACCCGTGATCACAATAGGCCCTATTGTTGCCGCCGTCCACTGTGACGGAATTCCGTCCGGAGTCCGTCAGAAATGTCGCCGCACGCTGACCGCATCCGGACCGCAGACGGAAAGCTCACGGACACTTGCTAACAATTTGTGAAGAGCAATTATCAGTTATTACAAAAGAAAATATAGCAATTTACTAGCATAACATAGTGCTGCCATGTCAAAGAAATTATGTTTACTTACTTTATCATGAAAGAGTTGAAATTATTTTCTAAATTTGCAATTGAAAACTTGAAGACGGAAGACTGTCCTGTCCGCGTCCGTTCCGCCTGCGTTCTCCGCAGAAAAGTTCAACATGTCGGACTTTGTTATTTCGTTTCCGTAGCAACCGCTTCCGGAACGCTTGCGGAGAGCTGACGGAAAATCAACAGCTGATTGCCGTTCGGATGCGGTCCGCACGGAGCGCACACGATTTCCGTACGGACCGGATGCGCCCATAGGGTTCTGTGTTAAATTCCGTACGGACCGCACGCATTCCGCACAGTGGACGGCGGCCTTTAATCCCCCAGTGTATTGGGAATTATTATCCCTATTGTACTGGGAATCCAACGCTACTTACCAATTTTCATTTTTATCGGTTTTGGTTGATCTGTATTCTTTATCATGGTGTGGTATGTTATGAACATCTCAGCTTATTTTCCTTTGATATCAAGTGCTTGCTGGGTCACCTGCCCTGTCTGGACCTGCGACTGAGATAAACCGCAATAACCTTTATGTGTTCCGTTCTGACCCGCCGCCGTCTACCCCGCAGATAAAGCGCACCAACCCGTGGCTGCGCTCTCAGGACGAGCTGAAGCGGCACCAGGCGGCGCTGCAGAAGGCCGAGAAGAGCGGCGACGCTCCCGGCTCCGACTCCGGCTCCGACTCCGAGCCGGAGAAGGAGCCGGAGCCGGACCCGGAGGCGGCCGGACCGCCGCCGGCCAAGCGGCGCCGGCGCGCCTTCGACACTGACGAGGACGGCACTGTGGAGGTCAAGGACTGCTCGATTGTGGTGCAGAAGGTGGAGAACGACAGTGAGGTGAGTTCGATGCAGGGGGAAGGGGCGGGGGTGGGAAGCGCTGTCATTATTGCTGCCACTGCCACGGTCACTGCTTTCGCTACTGCCGCCGCTGCTTCACTCGTAACGGGCATGATGGGGATGTTGTGCTTTGCTTAACCCGGCAGTTGCTGGGGTATTTCGCCACCCACCGTTTGCTGGGGGGGGGGGGGGCGTTAAACGCCCCCAGCCGATAACTCGAGAACCAATAGGCGCAGCGAAACGCACGAGGCGGCAAACGAAAGAACGCGACGAGACGCTTCAGATGAGCACTTTAAAGTTGAATTTTGAGGTCATAGGTCGGGTCAAGGTCAGGTCAAAGACCTAAAATCGAGCTTTCAGTAGCATGGACTTCAGGACTTCGCAATGGGTGCTTCTCGTCAGAAACTCTGTCAAAACGTTGCACAATCCATCATATAAGGCCTACAAGAGTGTCAGTTCCATGTAGGGGTCAGTCAAGCATAGGTCAGGGTCAAGGTCAGGTCAACCGGGTAGGCACATATCCCCGAAAATCAAAACTGTTATTCGCAGCCTATGACACATGTTTTATGGGTAATTTGGGCCGTAGAACACGATGGTGACATTCATTTTATCATATGTGTACGTGTTTGGCTCAAAAAGTTCAATTTAAGAAATTCATGTATCATGGTCGTGAAGTAGTCACGAGAAATTGTCAAGATTCAGTTCAAGATTTTGGAAAATGCGGAACGATAATCAATAATCGAAGATAGCCATTTGATTGTTCATGGTATTGGCATCCTAATGACGTTTACGGCATGTCTGTATGTCTATTCTGTGATTTTATATGATTTTTTGAACATACTCGTATGCCGTTTTTGGTCGAAAACTCAGAAATCATGACGTCACTAAAACCTCGATATCTCAAAAATTTTCCGACCGATTTTTTTTAAACTTTGTCACAATAAACTTCAATCAATTCCCTACAGGTAACCAAAATTTGGCGCGCCTGCGGCGCGCCATTTTTATGCTATGGCCCGGCGAAAAAAGTGGGGGCGTTTAACGCCCCCCCCCCCCAGCAACTCGCGGGTTAAATGGGTACTGTCATTTGCCCCTGCTGGTGTCTGCTTGCTTATTGTGCTTGTTTCGTGCTGTCTGCTTGCTTGTTTTGTTTTTGCTAAAAGACTTCTTGTTCCTTCATCTGGCTGTACTTTGAATGCTGCTTACACTGACAGCCACGAGCTACCGCTACCGTACGTTTTCGAAAAAATATTTGGTTGAGGATGCCGATTTCGGATCAGTCTTCCGAATTTTGCCTCAAGTTTTGGAACGCTGCAGAGGAAAACCTAACCTAACCTAACCTAACTTTCGGTGAAATGATTCTTCACCATTTATTTATTGTAGCGAATATTTTCATAAAAACGCTTCCGTCTCATGGCATTCTTGGAGGAAAGTCATAAAATGGGCTTATAATGATGAGAAGCTGATCATTGTCTGTACAATTATGGGCAAAAATGCGAACGCAGTCGACGCGCCCTAAAAGCCCTTATAAACAACAATGTCTTGAAAAAGACCACCAAAACAGACATTTTTACAACGTTACCACGCATATTTGGCGAATTACAATATTCGTTTAGAAGAGTATTGGGTAGTAAATTATGGGTAGTAAATCCTTTAAAAACAAGACCCCGCCCTTCCCAGTGACGACGAGCTCAGATTCAATTGACAGCCATAACGTGTGTTGCCGTCTGATCTCCGCCTGGGCTGTCTCTCCTCTGTAGCTGGTCCCGTCAGGCAGCGATACCGGGCAGACACAGGAGATGGCCAGTCCCGTGCCGGAGCCAGAGCCAGAGCCGGAACGGAGCTCTGTACAACGGTCCGAGATGGATTCCGTACCAGAGTCCGAAATCCGGAACTCTGTACCAGGATCCGAACAGGATTCAGTCCTGGAGTCCGAGCAGAATCCAGTCCGGGAGTGCGAGCAGGATCCAGTACCGGAGCCGGAGCCGAAGCCGGAGCCGGAGCCCGAGAGAGAGGAGGCCGAGCGAGAGAGAGAGGAGCCCGAGCTCCTGTCTCTGAAGGAGCACTGTAGTATCCCGGTTCCGGGGCTCTCGCGAAGCCGAGTTCGGGGGCGCATGCGGATTTCCTCTTGGAGTCCAAAACCGGGGCCCTCGCGGATTTCCTCGTGGAGCCCAGTGCCGGGACCCTCTTGGATTTCCTCGTGGAGCCCAGTATCGGGTTCCTCGTCTTCTTTGAGCCCGGTACCGGGGCCCTCTCGGAGTTTAGTACCGGTTCGTCAGCTGAGTCCGGTATGGGTACCCTCTTGGAGCCCCATTCCGGGCCTCTCGCGCCTCCCCGATTTGGTGTCGGGGACGTGGAGCCCGGAGGTCGTCTCGGACTCGCCAGTGTCCAATTCGGACAGCTCCTCTGTGGATTTCTTGGATGTTCTGGAGGCGAAGCGGGACGCGGACCTGGCCCGGCCGTCGCCACCGGAGTGCGACGATGACGACAGATCGGAGATATCGCTCGATGATGAAGAAATTGAAGAAATATTCGCAGCGGAGTTCCACCGCGACAGGTGGTGGTTTAATGTTACTGTAAGTTTACGGCACGGATGAAATCGAACAGGATTAGCTGTTCAGTGGAATCATGTCACGCTCAGTATTCAATGGGCTTCGAAGTCGACCTGGGGAAGTCGACCACATAACATTATTCGCGTTTCAAATTCCAAAACGTTGGCTGAAATAGCTTCATGATTTAAAGTTCAAGACGAAATTTGCACTCGGAAATTTAGAAAAAGCTCTTCGTCTCAAAAGCGGCTAGCGGAGAAGGGCTAGAAACGTAACTTAACGCCCATCTTATGCATCATGTACTATTATCAGTTTTGCTTTTTCTACACTTTCGTATTGTTTTGGTACCTTATGTCGATGTGTTCGGACACCCGGCCACCGCCGCGGTCCGGCCCCGCCCGCCTCCCTTGCCGACCTGGCTCCGGTTGCAGCCGGATCCGGCCGTGGGCAGCATGAGCAGCTGCTCCTCGGGCCGCGGCTCCCTGCGACCGCACTCCCGGCGAGCCTTCGAGGTGATGGAGCTCCATCCCCGGTCGCCGCCCGAAGAAACCGAAAGTCAGACGGAGGGGGGTGATGGACAGGCCGGCGACGAGAAGAGCTCAGCAGACCCGGGTGGAGACCAGACTGGTGTAAGTTGTGTCTGCACGTGCCGCGGAAGAGGAGTGGACAAAGCTGAAGAGGGCGTCTGCCGAGTCTGGTCGACAGAAGCTCGCGGGACTTTGAAACAGGGCGGTCTCTTAGGCGCTGCGATCGGCGCTCGACGAGTGTAGCAGTGAATGGCTGTACATCGAACTGCATGTGTGGTGATCAGACTTGACCTTGCATGAGTTTTGGCGCTAAAGAAGGAATCGATTGTGCCCTACACTGCCGCTGCTTTATGTTCGCTGCATGTTCATGATCTTTGTCTCCATCTTCATCAATGGGCTTTGGTTTTCCCTGAATCTCTACTCGCTGCTGTTCATCTAAAGAACTTAGCTTGCTCCGGTCAATTTTGTGAATGGTTATCGCACGACAGTGGCCTTGAAAACTGTGAAACTGCTGAGTGTTGATCGTCCACTATGTAAAAAAAGATTGAGACAAAAAAAAATATAAGACAGCACCATATAATATTGACTTCCCTTTCAATATGATAGGTAATACGTATGACAAGGAGCCCGTTTTTTGCGGGCTGACCGGTACGAGCGGAATTTCACTATTGGGACTGTCTTATCATTGCTCGTTGTAGCACACCACCTTCATTTTCAAGTCATTTCGACGTGCGGTATGTGTACTCTGTTCTGTGTTGTGTGAGAGAAGATGCTGGAACTGCCAGCTGTGTCGTCTGACCCTGTCCCTGACACTGACAGTCTGTCTGCTAAATCTATCCAACATTGACGTCCATGTCTTACCGTCTGGTTATCTGTGTCTGACCCGTGTGTCTCTTCCGCCCGCAGCCGGCGCCGCCCGCTCCAGACGATCAGGTGACCTCGTCCAGCCAGGAGCCCCGTGCGCGCACAGTCACCACTCAGACGCCGGTCAAGTTTCTGCGCGCCGCCATGTTGGAACAGTCTCAGGTGAGTTATACTTTGGACTGGTTGTATGAGGCGCACAACTGTAGTGGGTTCATCTGGTCCGAATAGTGTTCTTGAGTCTCTGAGTGTCACGGGTACTGTCATTGGGGAAAGAACGGTAGTGGTTCGGCCTTACTTGATACTGTTTAAGTCATGGGACGATAGGACGGCTAATTTTGTGTGCCAACATTCACTGATTGTAACTTTCGAGTCTCTGAATAAGCCTACTCCGCTCGAGTACACTGCCGTTCGACTTCATCTGTCGCACCCTGCTGCTGTTGACTCCATCACCGTTCTGACCGGCTCCCTATGCTGCTCCGCAGGCTAACGGTGGCGGCGCGTCTGCCCAGACGGGCTGCGAGGACCGGCTCCGTCAACTGGAGCGGGAGATGGAGAAGGCTCGACTGGCACACAAACAGGAGCTGGCCGCCCTGGAGGCGCAGCACCGCGCCCAGCTGACCGCCTCCAAACGCAAACAGTGGTGCTACAACTGCGAACAGGAGGCCATCTACCACTGCTGCTGGAACACTGCCTACTGCAGCACCGACTGTCAACAGGTACGGTAAAGGGGAACACTGCCTACTGCAGCACCGACTGCCAATAGGTATGGGCAGTGTTACTGGGGTCTGGCGAGTATCAATACTTTTACTTAGCGAGTCTTGCTAGTTGGTGACCGATCTGTTGTCATATGCATTCATAATTGTATCACGAAGTGGTGTGAATGGCGAGACCTTTCCAGTCGCGATTTTCGCTATCTGTGTGGCTGAATTATCTGACAGCTTTCTCTCTTCAGCTGCACTGGCACAAGGAGCACAAGCGGGTCTGCCGGCGGAAGAGAACCATGTGAGGTGTTCAGCGGCCCGCCCCGGCCCCGGCAGCCGCCCCGCCGTCCCGCCGGGCGGCGCCTCACGGCCGCCAGAGCTTAGCGCGTCCATCGCGGGACTGAGCGAGTGAGTTAGGAAGGAGCGAGTGAGATTGTGCGCCTCGGAAGACCCGGCCTCTGCCGCTGTCTGAGAGAGAGGGCTGATTCAGTGACGGCTGCCTGAGCTGACGTGGGCTGGTCAGGGGCTGGTCTTTCTTCACGCGCCGGAAGGGGTACGTCCCCGGAGCCGGCAGCGATGGTGCCCTGGTAGAGCCGCCGGGCGTCTTAGCGGCCAGCTCAAACTGCCGTTACCGCCCGATCTCTGCGCCACTGCAGCTTACCGGTCGCCGGGACGGCTCGCAGCGAATAGTGAGATTGTGAGTGGCAGAGCTGGAGTTGAGCAGCGAGCGAGAGTGACAGGGTTGAGAGGAGAGGAGAGAGGAGACTTTCAGCTGCATTTTCTGGGGCATCCAGTTGGACAGAGTGACTTGGTGAGGCCGTGAGATGGACCCAGGTGCGCGGGTGTTGACCGGCCGTAGTGGCCGGTACGCTCCAGCAGCCGACCCGGGCCATGGGCTCCGGTCAGTGGACGGTGTGTCTGTGTTTGTGTGTCGGCGCGTATCCGTGTGTCGAGTGGAAGGACATCGCTCCGCGCATCGTGTACCATAATCAAGCTGTGTGTGAAACGGGACGGCAGGCGTGCCATTTGTAGCATGATTATCATTATATAGGCCATTGTTTGTGTTATGCACCGTATCGACTTTGCGTGCACTGTATTCGTACACCGATCACCGATTCGCCGGCGCCGTCTGCCGGCCGGGCGGCGCTCTGCCCTCCCCCGATCAGAGCCCCGGACCCTGATGGAAGGACCGGCTCCTTTCCACACTGCTGACGCGGGAGCGCCCGTCGGCTGTTGTTCACTGATTCTCCGACTGCATTAGGTCCTGGCGAAGTGTAATTATTCCTTGTGCGCCGCTATCCACCCCTCCCTGCCGACTGGCGTGCTGTGTGTCTCGGTATCACGTTCAGTAGGGTGAGCTGTGTTTGCCGCGGGCTGTGTAACGCTGTGTGGCCGCCCCGCCGCCAGATCTTGCCCCCCGATGTGCCGTATGTCAGTGTGGGTGTGTGCTCTCTCCTGTAATACACGTGCACGTCCAAAGAGGGGTTATGAGAGAGGGCATTCGGGATGAATGGAACAGGAGGAGAGTAAGGGATGCATCCATGGATGTCCCACGACTCGGAAATTCTTCGTGGGAATAGGTGAAAGGTATTTCAGGCTCGACAGATTTTGGATTGAAAGGTAGGAATTACGACATCGGTTGCAGATCGAAATCCAGAATCAAGAATGCAGCTGCAAGTTGTATGCTTATTGCTTACCTATTGGTGAGAATGATCGCTTCAGCTGCCAGTCGCCGCAGAGTTGGCTTGATTTTTGTCATCCGCTGTCATGCAAGGGAAGCCTAGTAAGCGCATTCATGACGCCGGGCCAACGCTTACGCCGCCAGTCTTAGCGCGATCGACTAAGCGCTGGGTCCGCTGTGTCGTTTGGAAAAAAAATCTGATCACCAACGACATGTTAGATAACAAACGACTCTGGGGCCTAACGTCCGGTCTTGTTCGATGGATCTCAGCGTGAATTGGAGGGCAATCGGAAATACTTCATGTCTAATCTAGCAGCAGGTTGATATTTCACGAATCTGCTGCTGGCAATCAGACATTCGGCCGGGCCGAACATACCGCTCTGACAGCCGATTTGCCAATGTCGGTCTGCTAACAGCAGATTCGGGCCGATACTGTTGACATTAGACGACGAATGGTGCAGTGGAGAGACGTAGTAGCAAATTCGCGAATCTGCTGATCAGAACGGAAATGTTCGCCGAATCCGCTGCTGCCCGCAAACATAAATTTGGCGATACAGACGATCGGTCGCCATACCCCACCCCACCCTCATTCCCCATTTCCACCCCTCTTCGCAAACACATCCTCATAAGTCATCACTCGAAAGTATTGTATGACATAAGCAGATCACCGCGACCGGCCGGCAGTCTCCGTACACTCCTACTCCTCATAGTCGAACGGTTCGGGCGGCTCCGGCTCGGCCTCCTCGGGCTCCTTCTGCGGCCCGTGCGCCACCACCCAGTCGACCAGCGCCTGCTCACCGTCCCCGGGCGCCGTATCACGCACCATCAGAATGCCGCCGGCGCGCAGGTCTTTGACCGTCTGGTACCGGCTGCCCTCGGCCGGCTGGATGACGCGCAGCTGGTGCCGCAGCACGCGCGCCGGGTTCGACAGCATCTCGAACGTGGGCTCCTCCTTCTTCTTAGCGTCCGCCTGGTGAGGGAAGGCGGTAAAGGTTAGACTTGGGAACAGCAAGCAGAATCCCTATGCTAGGGGATATAGGGGACCTAGATAGGGGACCTAGTTTGGTGCTCATTAGTCACCGACGTAAAATGTCGTGGTTCATTTGGAACAACAGGTCCTCTAAAATCGTCAGCGTGGCGTGCCAACAGCACTGCGGTACAGCTACAAGGCCAGGTGCAAGCGGATCTACGTGTGGCGTCCACGAGGGCTCATTGAATCACCATCGCGATTACGGGCGTATGATCCGACATCTGGCTGACACTGGCGTGACTGGCATCGAACACTCACCTTCTCCTTCTCGTCCTTCTCTCCCTCCTTCTTGTCCTTCTCCTGTCCGGCGTCCTTCTTGGTGTCGTCGTCTACGTCCATCTTCTCGGGCTGCGCCTTGTCGTCCTTTTTCTTCTCGGCCTCCTTCCGCTTGGCACGGGCCGTGATGGATAGAACCGCCGTGGCCACCTGGCGACGGAGGGAGGAAACTCAGCTTTACAAAACCGGGACAGCGCGAATCACGCATTCACCGAGTGGTTGATACGGGACCGATCGAACATCGAACTGACAAGAAAGGGCTGTTCGCTTGAATATCGAATCCCAAAACCAGGAGCGATTCAATTATGTTACGGCAAATAAATAATATGTGTTTAAAGGCACTACGTGTACCAGCGACCACAAACCGATCAGTCGACAAAACGACTGATAAATACGTTTACAGATACATGTGTACAGCTGCTGTGAGATGCTCTTTCCTCTTCAGCTTCATACCACGCCCCAACATCCAAGCATCACGTCCAGTCATCCGTACCTTCTCCCGGTCCTCGCGTTTCCTCTCCTCGATGGGCGGCGGGTAGGCGTACAGGCTGGGCCGCGCGTTGGACCGCACCTCCATCTGGGGCATGCGCAGGTCGGCGTTCAGCCCCACCAAACAGGTCGGGGTGAAGGCCAGACTAAGGAAGTGCGCCAGAGGGTACCAGAACCAGTACTGAGTGAACACCAGCATGCCGACCACGGCCGCCATGTTGTTGTGACCGGTGCGCGACTGGAGAGCGACTGTCACGTTGCGACCGCCGGCGTCGATGATGCCCTTGGCCAGGATGGCGCCCAGCTTCGCCATGACGTCCTCGTGCTTATCCGACACGACCTTGGTGTACAGCTGGCGGAAGTCCTTCACCTGGTGGAGGAGGGGGAGGAGTCAGGGGGAGAACGGGATGACGGAGCCAATCAGTAGCCGCCGCAGCTGACGCCTGATCGTTTACCACGTGCCAAGACTCTCACCTCACACTACTCTAACACTACGTACATCTGAAAACGCTACTAGCTGCACCTGACACGTCTTTGTTTACCAATTCCTTCACGGGATACCAGAAGTAATCTACATGGAAATAGAACAAACACATCAGCTGTGACCCGGCGACTTCTGAGCAACCTTTTTGACGAGGGAACGGCAGCCCGGGTGGCGAAAACGTGTTCCCGCCCGGGATCGAACCGGGGACCTTCCGCGTGTGAAGCGGACGTGATAACCACTACACTACGGAAACAGCTGACCGCAACGGCTCTACATCACAGGAAAATCCCACTACACTGTAAGACCACGGGTGAAACGAGTTACGTCACAGCGGAATGACTGAATATCATCACGCATTTATAAGTTTAGCTAAAAAAATCATATCAAAGTTCATAAGTTAAGGAGTTCAGACCAAGATACTTCTGAGCTACTTTCCGAAGGCCCTCTTTCCCCGACCGGCGACGTGACTGACCTTGGGACAGGTCTGCTCGGTCTGTTGAATAAGCACCAGGGCGCTGGCGATGAGGGCTCCCTGCCGCACGTAGTTGACCAAGTCGTAGCACATGGGCTCCAGCAGGTACAGCGCTTCCTTGGAGCCGGTGCCTGGAGAGACACGGCACGGGCACATTTGGTAGGGCATAGAGATGTCACGGTTAGGGCAGTGAGTGAAAACAGTGGATGCACAGACGTAGGTAAGACAGCCAAGGGGAACAAAAACGAAAGGTTTAGCCATAAGCCAGACTGGCCACGGCACGACACCTATACCTATGACGGTGTCTTAGCACCGACTGTTCACCTGATGTGTTGGTAACACAGCCTACTCTTATGACTATGCCGATTCACGACGGGCAAACACAATACGTCGGACACGAGAAAATGTAATCAGTGAAATAACTGCGTTCAGTGAAGATAACGTGGAAAAGGTTACTCCGTTTAAAAAAAAAAACACACACACACACACACACTAAGCCTCTGACTGTTCAAGACACCTATGTATATCCATGACACGTTTTCTGTGGCTGTGAGTGCGCCTTCCCGACTTCTGTTCCTAGAGGCAACAATGACTGACTCCTGTGACGACCTCGACTGACCTGCGCAGGCGACGCCGAGCGCCATGGCGGCGCCGTACCGCACGTGCGGGTTGTACGACTCGGAGAGCAGACTGACCACGGACGGACACTGCTCCGGGTTGTGGAACAGCAGGAAGCCGATGGCGATCACCGCCGCCCGGCGCACGTCGTCGTTCACGTCAGATACCTGTCCATGACAAAGACACGTCAGATGATACGCCAGAGACAGTAGATACACTTAAGAGAAGTTAGATTGCGGTCCAGACAGAGCAAACACAATGAGCGGCACGACGAGTCATATTCAGGTCACGTAAATTATCGTCACGAAAATACCGCTAAAAACACGATTCACTGGATGCGAGACCGTGACAATTGATTCCTTACTGGCTGTTTAACACTGTCCTTTCCTGCAGTCACATTCTTTCAGCCACCATACGACTCAATCTATTATCGCGCACAGGCAACTTAAGTTACCTCCTTTAATCGATATACCCACGCGAAGAACCAGAACCAAACATCAGTGCAGTTTAACGCCTGCCCAGATCCCACCCGTGAAGTTCTATCTTATTTGGACCAACTCCATTGACTACCCACCTGACCCCACGCCAATTATCTACTCATTCAAGAGCAATACTATGTCCCATCCTCCACCACAACATACGGCAACATGGAGCAGTCGCCGGATGGCCTGGTTGTTGCCGGTGCCGCAGTAGGCCATGGCGATGGTGTACATGCCGCTCCGGCGCAGGATCGGGTCCTTGTCCGAGCACAGACTGGTGATGAGGGTGTCGGCCTCCTCCAGACGCTCGTACATGGTGAGTGCGATACCTGTCGGCGGGAGCGGTACATACAGTCAATACAGTGAGCACGTCGTGTCGGCCTCCTCCAGCCGGTCGTACATGGTGAGTGCGATACCTGACGGCGGGGGGCGGTACATACAGTCAACACAGTGAGCACGTCGTGTCGGCCTCCTCCAGCCGCTCGTACATGGTGAGCGCGATACCTGACGGCGGGAGCGGTACATACAGTCAACACAGTGAGCACGTCGTGTCGGCCTCCTCCAGCCGCTCGTACATGGTGAGCGCGATACCTGACGGCGGGGGCGGTACAGTCAATACAGTGAGCACGTGTCGGCCTCCTCCAGCCGCTCGTACATGGTGAGAGCGATACCTGACGGCGGGAGCGGTATAATGATCAGTCAGTGGAGCAGACTCGATGTTATGTAGAGGTAGGATGGTCGAGTCAAGACACACAGACAGTCATGGTAGCTGAGGGCTACCATGACTACAGGCTGACATGACTGACACTCGACAGGCTGCTGAGATCGAAGTACCAAATGAGAAAAAGCTGGTCAGACAAAGGGCTGTCTGCGTCGCTAATATGCAAACGCCTCAATCTGGGCTCGATTATGTGCGACATATATGTAGGACAGGCTGCTTGCAATTAATTCATTGCAATCAGTCGCCTTCCTCGATCATTTGCGTCGATATGTAGGACAGGATATTGAAGAAGTCACCACCGACTCAGGTGCTCAGCTCACCATCACGTCGTTACATGCGCCACCGACTGTCTTTACTCACCGACGGCGAGTCCGCGCAGGATCTTTTCGTGCTGGGTCTCCTGAGAGTAGGCCACCATGTCCTCGATGGCCTGTGCTGACTTGGAGCCCAGCATCACCAGACCCATAGCGATACCTGATGGGGGGCGGACAGGAGGCCACAGTGAACCAGGTGAGAAAGATTGTGAGCTTGACGAGCAAGTCTTTGTCAATCAAGCATAAGCAAGCGTCATATGATGCACAGCTGCGATACGTGAAAATAAAACTAGCACTGAAAATATACATCAATGTAAGGGCCAATGCGTCAATATTGGGCAAAACCGACTTTCAGACTACAAAAACAAGGAAATTCTGGAGCCATTCGTTCGTTGCAGCGTCATTCGTTGCATCATGGGTGTCTGGCTTCAAATCCCTGACTTCCCACAGCATTCTCAGCCATTCTCAGCCTCAGTCGCCCCTTCCCCTAGCGGTCCGCCGTCCCCCACCTGCGGCCTCTCCAGTGACGGCGTCGTCCTGGTACAGGTTCAGCTTCAGCTGCTCGTAGATGTCGGCCCGGTGGGTGCCCATAGCGGCCAGGCCGACACCCAGGCAGCCGCCGTGCCGCACCACCTAGCAGAGAGGACAGACAGGAGGTCAGGTCAGGTCAGACAACGATACAGCCCCTCTGCCATACCACCTGACACAGAGGTCAGACAGAGGCCAGTGCTCACGTCAGGGACAAATATGTTAAGTTCATGATGTAAGCAATGTGTATAAAAGAAACAAAACATTAAAAAGTTCATCCCATGACTAAATTATCAACAAACGACTAACATTCATCAACCAACTGACGTCTTTTCTTGGAAACACACAAAGCAAATGAATTGATTACATGAGGAAAATATATCTATGCATTTATAAATTGAGCTGACCATTGAGCATCTGCCAAAAGAAGCCCAAAACTCCCGTGCAGCTCCTCCATTCTGCAACCACCGCTACCTGTCTGCCACCACCGGGCGTGCCTTACCTCGTTATTGGCCTCTTTTAGCTGCTGTACCAGATAGTTGATAATAGCACCACCGTGGTTCACGTGAATGAGGCCGAGCGCGTACAGCGCTCCGCCCTCGGTGTAGCCTGAACTGCCGGCCGCGTCCTTGGGTAGGTAGGCCTGCATCAGACCTAGCGCCTCCTGTGGGAGAACGAGAGGGAAAGCGTCAGGAGAAGAGGGCTTAGCGGTCACTCGTTCAACAGTGGTGAGAGTCGAGTAAGTGAGCGGACGGTTACGGCCCTCGCGCTCCTCAGTAAAGCTCATCAATGGTACGAAAATATCCATCAGATATGAATGCATATTATTTTCAGCAGCAAAACCAAGATGTCGACTATGAGAGTCCAGCTCTCCGAAAGACACAGCTCACGGCTACCTACCTTCTCGTGACCTTTGTGGATGACGCCCAGGGACGCGGTTGCAGACATCTTGGCCCAGCTGTACGCCCGTGACAGCCAGTCCAGGTTGTCTCTGGAAACATCAGGCGTGACAACGTAAGACTAAGCGAAATATGCATCTCAGATTTTATTCAACTTCACGGCATGCATGACCGACACCCTTCACACATCTTGGACTGAAAATCATCTGATATTCTCAATCATAATGGCCATACAGATGACGAAGACCAATTCAAATAATATGTATGACAGTAAAATGTTCATGGCAGCAGCCCACCCATCTCAACCTGGTGGTGCAGATGGGTGGGCATCTGCACCACCATGGTGCACCTGATGGTGATGGTGCCGTAGCCTGACCGCGCAACAGGGTGCAGCTGTGACTGACCTGAGGAACTGGTCGCTGGTGGTGCCGCACTGCATGTAGCCGTGCGCCACCACCAGCGCAGTGTGGCACACCGAGGCGCGCACCGTGTCCTTGACCTGCTTCAGGATCATCAGGTCCGTGTGGTTCCCCCGGATGAGGAACTGGAGGTGTAACTGGATGGCCACGTCGCCAGACAGGATGGTAGTGAGACGCTCGTAGTGTTTCTGGATCTGCTGGTCACGCTCCGACTGAAAGAAAACAGAGGGACAAATCGTTAATTAGTCGAACATGCAGGAAAAAAGACCGGTAAAACACCTAGGTCAAATAAGACATTGTGAAGCCATGAGGATTGAAGAACCATCGATGCTGTTTTTTCACATGGAAAGATACCTCGATATGGCTACAGACTACAACATTCACATTAAAGGGGCTTTCAAGGTCAAGGGTACACCAGCACATCTGCTGATTCATCTCAAATGCACAGCTGTCTTTCCCTCTGGCAATGTCACATCCCATCCGCTGCCGCTACACCATCCAGCCAATGAACATTGAACACCTCATCGGCGGTGGTCGGTTGGCCGTCTGGCACTCTGCCTCCCCAGCCCACCCTCTCCCGTCACTGACCAGCTGACCGGCGGTGGTCGGGCTGTCCCTCTGACACTCTGCCTCCCCACCGGCCACCCCCACCCTCCCCGGGTCCTCTGACCCTCTGTCCCTACTATCGACTTCTCCTATCCCTCCCCACACTCTGCCTCCCCGCTCCGACCCTCCCCCGTCACTGACCAGCTGGTCGGCGGTGGTCGGCTGGCCCTCTGGCCGGTTATTGTCGGCCGTGTGCTCCGCGGGCGCCGCCGCCGGTACCGGCAGCGCCAGCAGACCGGGCAGCGGGGCGGTGACGCGCAGCGCCTGCAGCACGCGGCCCAGGAACTGCTGCGTGGCCGAGTCGTACAGGTCGAACGCGATCTGGTAGCCCATCAGCGCGCTGTCCTGGTAGAGAGAACGGCCGGCGGCCGGCGATAAGGTCAAAGAGATGGCAGGGAAATTGGCACAATTGGGATATCACGGCACAGCAGCGATAACTGTCTATATAGTCCAGATTGTGGTCCAGATTGACATCAGCTGTGCATTCCAGTAATGAAGCTTAAAGCTTACATCTACAATGTTTAATTTATGGCGAGAACGTCCTCGAATAACATAGACCTTATCGCGATCATAACTCTAAACACAAATTATTCACGATGCAGGTGAATTCAGGTAATAAAATCACGATTCTAAACAACGGCAGACACAGAAGTTTCATCACACATCCAACAGCAGACATCCACATTCCACACATCCAACAGTCTTCACTTCCACAGCAGCTGACTCACCTGGGTTCCCCTGATGAGCTTCTCGAGCACCTGCGCCACAGCACCGGCGTCATCCAGGAAGATCAGGCACTGGCACATATTGACGTAATCGGGGGTGGCCAGGTTGCGGTAGAGCTCGATCAGCGCCCGCAGCACGGTGTTGCGGAACTGACGGTTCTGGATCAGCGACATGGCCACCGTGAACGCGTACTGCAGCATCCCGGCCACGTCGTCCTGTGGGCGAGAAGATCCGTGTCAGACGGTCAGACACGTAGCGACAATCGAACGGATGTCAGAAAAAAACTGCCCCTTTACTTCTTCTTCTTCTTCTTGGTTTAGGGCGCATAGCCTCGCTGGGCTCAGAGCGTCTTTAATGTCATGGAAATGTCGCCATCTACACAAACTGTCGCTAACTAAGAAGCAACAATTTGTTTGCTTCCGGTCGAATGAAATACATAAAATTGTCACTATGTAACCAAATGCAAAACAGAGAAATAATTTTGCTAACTACGAATCATAGTTCACTTTTCTTGATGTGAAATGTGAATCTTCTGGTACTCAGACTACTGAATCATTACCACATCAGAGGCCATTTTACCCATTCATCATCTCGTCCGCCATACCGAGTCCATGATGGCCTTCTGGAAGACGTCCATGCGGCGCGTCTCGAGGGCGATGCCCAGCGCCTGTCGGTACTGGCCGTCCTGGAAGCAGCGGCTCAACATGCGGTCTACAATGCCCTCCAGGCGGGCGTCGATCACCTGGGCGTCGCCCTCGCCCGACTCCTCGGCGTTGGAGACGCGCAGTGACGTGTAGTGGTCGATACATTTCGCTGTTGGAGCAGGTGGTGCCCGTGTTCAGGCTGGGTAGGGAAACTATGGGAGCTTAAATGAAAAGGACTTCTAGCTGAAAAAACTACCGAGTGGCGAGTACTGTTGATTATTATCAGCTCAATATGCCTGTGACATTTACAAGTTATATTAAAAAAAGGTTGGTAAGCATCCATCTTTCAAGGTGCAAAATCCAGTTATGGAATGGGGGCATCAATTGCCCAGTGTTTCCTCAAAGTTAGCCAAAATGACTGGCGAGTGGCAACTGCAGCTGACAGTGCCTGTATATTGTTTGATAATGCAATGTCACTGCAGCTGCTGTCTAAGCCTATCCACAACCCGAGCCTTATGCATGGTATACAAGTGCTTAAAACACCCATCATCCTTTTTCACAGTAGTCATGACCAACTCACCAATGATGGTCTCAACATACTGGGACTTGTCATTGACATCAAACAGGTCACCAGCACCGAGAGCATATGTGAGGGAGTCCTCAAAGGAGCCAAGGTGGTAGTACACCTTGCTAGCCACCAGGGCAGCCAGGTGGCGCTCTGGGAAACCCTTATCCTCATGCAGAATCTCTCTGAAAATGAGAGAGACACAATTATACAAGTTACACTGCTGACAGCAAGATAACAAACAATTTGGCTTTTAACTGACTAGCTGCTGACTGATTTGGTGCATAATGGCCAGGATATATCTTGCAAAACAAAGGGCAATGTAGGCATCATTTAAGTTCATACATCAGTATCTTATTCAGTATTTAACTAAAATGCACTATGGTCCTACCTTAGTAGCCAGCATCATCATGAAGCAGGAGCATAATCAGAGAAGCATGACAGCAGTTACCTACCACATATTTGAGAAAATAGAAATACTCACATCTTCTCAATAGCCTCAGATATTTCAGCCCAGAATTCATCAACAATAAGATTGAGCTTCTTCAGTGCAAAAACCTTCAGCTCTGGCATAGGCTCCTCCAACAGTGAAATGATACCAGCTGCAGAAAAAGGTGGTACTCATCATAAAGGAATCTTTACAGGCATGTATGAAGGGTAGCTTCATGACTGGTCAGGTCCAGAACTTCAGGGCATTTTTTTTTTTTTGTCCTATGTGATAATGATGCAGACAAAACTTACTCAGTCTTGCTATAATACCCAATCAGACTAGCAGGTTTTGCACACAGAGCACTACACATCAGCAGTAAGAAAAGAGTACCTATGCAACTTTGAGTACAAACTAAATGCTTATATGCATGAGGAGAATTATCAAGATGAATACAGAGGATTATATTGATATGCAACAACATTGAAAACACTAACCTATCTTAAGGTAAGAAAAAGGGCAAAGTGAACAATGAGCCAAAGATATACTGAGTGGTAGCTACAATTATAATGATTATTTACCTGATGATGATATATTCATGGTGAATGCTGGCTTGTGTACAGTTACACCTGAAAAAGACAATCAAATTGTCACAAAAGAAAGAGCAATGATAAAAGGACAGCCAGACCAAGGAGTCTATGATTATTTAATTCAATTTGTTTTTGGCTGAGTAACAATTGAGCAGCTCTGGTGTAAAAAAAAAAACATGTAGAATTCAGTCATCAACATTTGAGGGAAATAATGACTAATTCATTTAATATTTATTTTGTTTCTACTTTGATTTTTTCTAAAGCTATAAATCTATTTTTGTTTATAGTTCTTAAACACTTTTGAATCCATGGAACACAGGTTTGCACTCGCACTCTTTACGGAATGGGAAATGGAATATACTTGTCAATGGTGATCCTTGGGCTGTAAAAGCTCCTGATTTGTGCTAGCCTCAGCTCAAGCTATGAAACTGCTATTCCAGTTCAAAACCGCATGTTAAAAAGGTGAACTATTTCCTTTAAATACCAATACGAGTGTGAATCGATGTTAGTCTCCATGTGGTCAGAAGAACACCAACAAAGCTGAAGAAGATTCAAATGCCAAAAAATATTTCATCAGTATGTTAGCTACCTATCTCATAAGGTGAATAGATGTTTGATTGATGAGCTAGCACACTAAAAATGGCCAATAATAATAAAAATAGGGCAACAAGGGGGTGAATCAGAATGGAGGAAATCTAAATTATCAAGTGATTTTCCATGCTTAAATCAGACTACTTACCAACTGCAAGCATTGATAGAAATTTATGTTACTTGACAATAATATTTAGGGTGACAAAAAGCGATAAATAACCCTCCACACACCTTTACAAGCAAGATAACCCAGAAATCCTCCGTTCACTCAGCAGCGCGGGGCGCCGGCGTTATTTGCCGGAATTTGGTAGACGAACTCAACGCATACACAAAAGGAGCATCGTCAGTATTCAAGCACTATAAAGTCCTAAAGTTTGTATATGTTTTTTTTTTTGTAAACATAAAGCGAAATAGTTACTTTTGTGTTGCTTTTGTGATACAAAATTATAAAATTAAATTTAAAATGATTCTGGAATCTTCAATAACAAAACAACAGTAGACTCCTCAAATATATAAATGTCGCTTGAACATGATGCTTGGAAATGAAAGCTGCAAGATTTCTTTGCGAAGTACTTGTGCGCGGGCTTTATTATAAAAGTAAATTGGGTGCGCTTCGAGCACTGGCCACTGGTTCTTCCCAGTACTTTTGAGCTGTGTGACTGACGACTGTGCCGGATGTGGTCTATTGACCACGGATGATGGTCGATTTATCTTATTCCCGGTGCGGCACTGGTCTGGTCTAAAGAGGTTCTGTCGATCAAGCGCCCGATGCAGCTAAGGCCCGGTCAATGGGCTCAGTGTTCAGAAGAGGCTCCAGTCGCACCGGTCCCATTAAACGTTCGACCATACACGGCCCGATCCTGACCGGCCCGATATGTAGAGACACTAATTTGCCGTTCGGCCAAAAAAAGAGCCCGCTCAGGACAAGGTACGGTCAGACAGGGACCGCTCGGACACGGTCAGATTAAATGGGACAGAAACGTGTTTCGACGAGGGCCTTGTTTGCTGGCTCCGCTATTACCATTTTACTGTAGGTCCGAGCCGAGCAGACTGTCTGGTCGAAAACTTGACCCGATTTGCTTGGGGAGGAGTCTCTGAAAATTTGGCTGCTCGTCTTTCGTCCGGTCTAGTATTAGGCTCCCGGCTCGTTTCAGCATAGGTCCTGGGTCAAATAGTCCACGGGCTACACTTTTGTATAGAAACCGGGCACCGGCAGAGCCCAGAGGTCTAGGAACCGGAGGAGCCTAAGTTAGTCCCAACTCTCAACGTGACTCAAACTGCTGAATTCCGCTCTGGTCGCGGGCAGTAGCGGTCCAGCGGATCCAGGATTTCGTCAAGGGGGGGGCATACGGTATTGTGGTGCCCCCTGGCATTTGGTGCCCCCCTAAAAAATCCACGGATTTCAGCCACTTACTCAGGGGATGGTGCCCCTTGAGACCTCGGGATGGAGCCCCTGAGACCTGGGGATGGTGCCCCTGAGACCTCGGAATGGTGCCCCCTCAGACCTGGGGAGAGTGCTCCTTCAGACCTCGGATTTCGGAATGGTGCCCCTGGAAACTTGGAATGTTGCCCCCGGAGACCTCGGAATGGTGCTCCCGGAGACAGACTTCGGGATGGTGCCCCCGGAGACTTCGCCCGGGATGGTGCCCCCGGAGACTTCGGGATGGTGCCCCCTCTGCCCTCAGACGGGACCTCGGGATGGTGCCCCCAGACCTCGCGATGGTGCCACTGGAGACCTCGGGATGGTGCCCCCGGACCCTCGAGATGGTGCCCCCTCCGACCTTGGGATGGTGCCCACGGAGATCTCGGGATAATGCCCCAGCGGAGAACTCGAGATGGTGTTCCCGCGGACCACGGGATGGAAATAGCCCCACCCGAGGCGAGGGACAGAAATGGGCCTCCGGGCAGTGGCGGATCCAGGGGAGGGCAAAATGGGCATTTGCCCTCCCCAAAGCCAAATCGTGTGGGCAAGACTATCTTTTTGCCCCTCCCAAAGCATGTAGCGATGAGCAAATCTAATACGGCGTCGATGCCTATAAGGACGAAAAGCAGGGCTTCTTTCCGTAACGGCCATTCCGAAGGAAGGAGCTGACCACTGGCTGCTGATATTTTGGGTCGATATGCTGATATTAGATTGAACCCCCTGAACTGAATGCATGCATAAGCATATGCAGTGTGGCCAATGGCCATGGTGTGGGGTAACACGGGGCAAGATGCCCAGTCGGGTAAGACGCCCACCACCCTATATTCGAAATTACCTAAGCAATCCACAGTTTTGACATTTGTTGGGAGCCTCATTGCTGTGGAGCGTTGCGCGTAAAAAAACGGCGACGTGCCTAGCCGCCATTTTATACCTATTTTTTGCATATGTTCTGAAAATGTCAGACCAAGGTCTCTCAAGGTCACGAAGTCACTAAGCTGTACGTCAAGTGACATAACCTAAAAACAGTTCCAATGCTTGCCATAGCTAAACCGAGTGACGGATCGCTTTGAAACTTTCAGCAGTTAATAAGGGTAACAGTAGGGGAAGTTGGGGGAACACCGAATACTTTTTTTTCTGACGCCCGTAGCACGCAAGGTAGACAACATAAGCTATTCTTGTTGGCGTCATTCGAGAGGCCAGTCTTTTGCCTTTCAAACATACCAGGCGCATTTGATGAATTCGCATACCGTTAAGCGCACAAACTAAAAATATCAAAGAAGTGACTTTTTCGGCGTTGCCCCGGACTGCGGGGAAAGCCGAAAATGGGAGAAATGATCTACGGGAATGCCGAAATTGATGTTTTGCTATTTTATCTCAAATTTTATCCAGAATTCGTCAAAGCTGACACGCGTTTTAAGAGCTTGAGGACGCTTGGTGCACACTGGAAGTTATAATTGTGTGATATAATAAGAAAAGGCCAGGTAAATCATTCCTTATGGTAACAGGCCGTTGTGTCGGTTAAAAGTGTTTGTGTGACTAAAAATACGCGTTGCTATTCTACAGCGGTAAAGTTCACGTAGCGTGCTTTAACGCGCGTAATTGCACGTTTTCGGCATTACCCCAGCCAGCCATACTTTCATTTGCAGGCCCATAACTTTTCAACGTGCTGTATAAATTTCAAATAGGCAGCACACTTATGCAAAGACGTGCTGAAGATTACTTGACCGAATTGGCCAGACAAACGGTAGCATAATGAGTAGGAAATGCAGCTTCGAAGACGCATGTAGTACAAAGGAAACGTACCTTGAAAACGCTCTTGGCGCCCTCACAGCCGAAGTATTCCGAATGACGACTGGTAACAAACATGCGATAATTGGTAGTCTCAGAGCATCACTGACAGATGGCATCCATGTCGTACGGTTTTCGAAATATCTCGAATTTCGGCTTTGCCCCAACTCCGGCATTGCCCCAACTTCCCCTACCTATGTACAAAATGTTAGTCACATGATTTTTATATCGATGACCTAGGGCTAGGTCATTTTTGCGACCTCTCCACTATAGGTAAGTCAATAAGAGAAAATTGAAAGGCACCTTTTTTGGGCAAACCTCCTGTCCGGTAGCTCAGTTGGTAAAGCAATGGACTCCCGGTGAGCCCGGGTTTGAGCCGCTCCGGCGCTCGATATTTGGGACTCCTGACGGGGATGGTCTGAGGTTGGTGGGAGCAGCCGCAGCCATTCAAAGTCAGGAGTGGGACAGGCCGTGTCCGGCTTCGAAGGGCAGGTAAAACATTGGCATCGTTAAACGTTAAACTAAATTCTCCTGTCACCCGGAATTACGCGATCGGACGGTAGGGGTCGGGCTCTACGCAACAAGCTCTGCTTAGCGTAGGTCCAGCTCCCGTCAATCCGCCCTTTCAAACATTCGTGCTAAATTTATAAGAAACGTCACTCTTAAAAATACCGAGTTACAACCTAAACAGTACACAGTGAACCGGAAAATAGCACCCGTGACCCCTCCTTATGTCCCTGAGATCATCTCAGGTCACGAAAGATATGCAATAGTTTGCAGCAATTCGTTAATAACTTCTGCTGGAGGCATTCCAGAGAAATAGAAACACCTTAGATGTGTTCAGCTTTACGATACGGATCGACTGATATGCAACACGACCTTTCCCGGTCAGGTCATGACTTGACCAAATGTCAAAGTTGTAAGTTCACTTTTTAAGATCAAATTATAACTCATTCGACGCGTCTTCGCGAGAGTAACACGATGCCGGTAAAAGTAAGATCGCTCATCGCACAAGGTTTGATTCAAAAGTTATCGCAGAAAATCCGTTCCCGTAAAAATAGCATATATTATGACAGTTTCCCCTGGAGGCTAAACCGTTGATCTTAGGTCCAATCTGAGCGAATTATCCAGAAAGAGCAGTAACAGTGCTATCAAATTAGCTTTTCTGGGGCGCTCTAGCTCTATTCGTTTCCGAGTTATGCGCCAGTTCTTCAAAAATTGTCGAAACTGGACCTAAATATTATCGGGATTTGGCCTTTGATGGGCTCTGGTGATCTGACATCTGACCTGACCTTAAAAGTGACTGGGGTAATTTGGTCATTACGTTTGACACTCTTTCAAACGCCGCTTACCGCGTGTTGCTACGTGGCCCAGGAGCCGAGTTAGAAGGGATATGGGCGTTCAAACATCCCCCAGGGGCGTGAAAATCCAGGAGCCCCAGCGCGGCTGGGCACGGGTTAACATAAGACATTTTACACCATCTTACGGTAAGATGGTGTAACTGGCGTTGTGAAGTAACTTGGTCACTGGCGCGGTGGTGGGTCGGGGTCGCCGATGGTCGGCTAAACTTTTGCCCTCCCCAAACGGATCGGCTGGATCCGCCCCTGCCTCCGGGAGACCCCGAAAACGGTACCCTATTCCAATAGACCTTCTGGATGGTGCCCCCTTAAGACTTAGGAGACCTCTGGGTTGAAGCTCCCGTCGGTGACCTCCGTGATGAATTAAAAAATATCCGTGATGGTGCCCCCCGGGAGGCCCAAGGGGAGGGGGCCTGGCCCCCCACGGACCCCCTCTGAATCCGCCATTGGTCGCGGGGTCGGGCCAGCCCGAAAATTTGGTCCCGTTTATGGACATCTCGTGGAGGTCTAGTCAAATCACTGAACTCTATAATGAGTCAAATAGTCCCCGATCTCAGGCGTCTTGCACCAAACACCCTGTTAGGGTTAGACGGCAAAGCCGCAAATAATAGGCAATCCTAATAAGTATATAATATACATGTATATATATGTAGTTAGCATTTAACTACCGTACGGCATTAAATTCTTTTGCAACAGCTAATAACGCATGTGATGTAGACTGTAAACCTCCAAGGGCTCGCCACTCGGTATAATTTATGAGTAAATTGTCAGTTGTCACGGTATCGGAGCTTTGGGAGTCAGTGTCCGGGACAAGAACATCTAAATAAATCGCTATTTGTTAATTGTTTTTGTTGGGTTAGGCTTTTTCGGTCTACCGAGGCCATTTCAGAGCCGGAAAGATGATGGGAATTAGGGGGGGGGGGAGATATTTGTCTCGGCGGCCACCCTGCACTGAAAACAATTTCACCCGAAGCTGGCGAATTAAGCGTTGCTCTGCGGGTGGTATATGTGTATTAACTCGCCATGTCCAGATTCTAGCTAGAGGGTAAGCAGACTTGCCTGCCTTATTACTCGTAAATATGCACTGTACCCACATTTTGCAGTTAGGTAGCTACCCAGCACCGGATATTGTCCCCGCGGGTGTCGAGTCATTGGCATAGCCCTCACTGAAAGAGTTGGAACTACTCGAGGTATCGTAAACGCGTATCCGTGGATGGCGAACCTTTACATAACCTGCCCTGAAGGAGTTGGATCTACTATTACAACTAGATGGCGTTGTCTCATACAGTTTTGAATTACAACAATTTTTTAACTTTTTTTTGAACCAATGATATGTTGGCACATTGTTTGGCGGTTTGGGGCGAAAGTACAATTCTTAGGGTGCATCTTTAAAACCTCTGCAATATTCATCACGGGACGATTGGCAACGCTTTTTCTTCCGAAACTACCAAGTGAGACCATTTTGATTCTTATATAGGTCACGAAAGCAGCGGCGACACATCACCGTTCCATGCTTCTATCCTCAGGATACTGAAGTCCTTCTCCTCCACACCGCCACCCCCCTCCGGGCTGGACAGGCAACTTTATCTCATGCGGGCTGCTCCCTTGGAGCGGCACCGCTGCTCCCGAGGGAGCGCACCCCGTAGCCGGGTGCAGTAAGTGCCTTGGGGCTGGGTGGCCTGTCTTCGGACGGGCTCAGCCCCGGCGACTCACTAGGGTGCCTGCCCAGACCAATGTCTCCCCCTAATTCCTATCATCCTTCCGGCTCTGCAATGGTCTTGTCGACCGAAAGGGCCTAACCCAACAAAACAAACAAACAAACGGCGACACATCCTTCTGATTTCGGGCGGTCTGGATGACTGCCGGTGACTGAGTCATGTCGAAATTTCTATGGGAATTCGATTTGACCTATCCCACCGATGTGAAACTTTCTCACCGATGTTTTCTAGGTGTGAGATTGCTATAATATAGATATTTTCCCGCAAATATGGTCAAGCGTGGGAGTTTTTTTTGGCCCTCGTGACTTGGTCGGCGACGGGTAGGCGTGGAGGGTAACCCCATCTTCTAGGGGTTTGTGGGGCGCTGCTGCCAGGTAGGCGTCGATGAATACCTTTCGATGGAGGGGTCGCGAGCCACTGGTGCGCGAATAGTCGTGGAGGGTAACTACTCTCCAGAGTGAATTGCGAAAGTGTTATGTCCTAAATTGACTCCTGGCAGGGTGGTTAAAAATGGTTGCGGATAGGGGTACCCGCGAGGCACCGGTTTACTCGCCAGTTTTGGGTGAAATTGTTTTCAGTGTGGTGCTCCGCCGGGGCTGAGCCCATCACGTGGACAGGCCAGTGCCACCCAGTTCTGCACTAACGGTCACTGCACCCGGCTACGGACCCGACCCTAGGGTGGATATTCCCGCATGGGATAAAGGTGGCCGTCCCTAGCCCGGATCAGCGGGTTGATGTTTGGAGAAGGATCGGATCAGAGTATACCTATCCTGAGGAAAGAAACGACGGAACGAAGGAATCACTATTTACCTAGGCCGATATTTTGTTGCAACGGGTGCAACATAAATACTTCGGTTGGGCTCTTACATGGTTAGATAAACTCGCAACTGAAACTGAATTCCCGCGTATGCCGTATGTCACTGAGGCCTTTTGAAGAGTCCCTCTGATATTTTTGTCAAAGAGGAATGCTGCATTCCTTTATATTTGCCGTAGTCCGTAAGAAATACGTCCGTAATAAAATAGTCAGTAAATACGGAGCCCCGATAGACCTTAATGATGTACCTTAATTTACCGTAATTTAAAGAAGCTAATGGATAAGTTGCTCAAAGGACAGAACTGATGACGCCTTGTCCATCCGTCGTTTGCCCATATTGGTCCGTCGACCATCCTCCTCCAGCCCCCCCCCCCCCCCCCCCCATAGATGCTTGTACTACCGCCGCCTGCGGCGCAGTCCTTGACGTCGGCTCCTCGCGTCGCGCTCAACACCGAACACGTCGAGACAAATTGATTAATCCCGGCTTGAAAGAGGCCGACGCTACGATGATTAGGTACGGGGGCCTTTGTTGGTCGCTTCCTGTGTTAGCCGTTCGGTCGTCGCTCCAGGTGACCGTATATAGGTAACGTCCGTGTCTATGGACTTGCTTGACACGAGAGCCATATGACTCTCACATCGCAGGTAGATTGTCTAAAAGAAACTCCCTCGAAAAGGCTCATCCTTTTATCCATTGCAAGCGCTTTGATTTGCTGGTACGATTCAAAAATCCCTCGCTTATACTGTTCCCGGCGGTTGCCATGGTTGCACCTGTTTTGGCGGGAGTCGGCCAGCGAGTGGCGCGCGGCGCGGGACGCGCGCACCAGGGTATATAGAACAACGCGCGCACGGTTATATGGCCTTGGCGCGCACAGCGCGTTGCGCGCGGGGCGTGTGAGGTGTGCGACGTGCGTGGTTGAAGTTTGTGAGTTTTGTTTTTCATAGTTTTCTATGGTACAACGTTTCTTTGAGCATGATTGTAATCAATAAAAATGGTAAAATTGACCTTATGAAGACTTCGCTCGCTCCGTAACCACCCATTTTTGATTCCACCGAAGAAGAACCAAGTTCGAAAATATATTCTGGACCTTTTTTCAATTAATTTATCTGGTATTATGAGCATAAGGTCAATTTTACCATTTTTATAGTTTTGTTTTTCCGCATATTTGTATTGATGCAAGGCCCTACGTAGAGTAGACTGTAGATGCCATGAGGTTATGGTGCAAGGCGAGGTGCGAGGTCGTGTGAGTACCAAGGCTGTAAGTAGGTAGGTAGAAGGTACCCACAATGGGAGTTTTTTTCTTTTTTCTTCTCAGTATATGTCGTTTTTGTGTTGTTGCAGTGCATGGTGAATTGAACGTCATGATTGATTGATGGATAGTCGATAGATGCGTACTCGGTAGGTACCGTATACCGGCTATACAGTGGAACTGTGGAATGCCGGTGGACGGTTGCGGTGGAACAGACATTTAAATTTTAAAAGTTACAAATGAGCATAGTGGCATGGGTAATGGGTATGCCTCACGGTTTACGTCCCCTTCGCGTGATTGACTGGTGGTGGTGACCGTCAGTCCGGACAATGTCATCCTCATAATGCATCCCCACGTTCACAGACGAATCCAGCCATGCATCTCAATCTGAACTGCTGCACAAGAGTCAGCCTAGCCGGAGGCCTCAGCACGGTCACGTTCGAGCGCACCCCGGTCGCGTCGTGGCGGCAGCGGCGTACCGGGCGTCAGCGTCAGCGCCATCTGGTGCTGGCCGAGCGGTCAGCTCCGCCGCTGCCGCCGCCGCCGCCGCCGCTAGCGACCAGTCTGGTGCAGCCCGCCAGCCCGAGAGAGCGGTGGAACGTCGGTGCGCTGTGTTTCAGCCGTGCAGAGACGTGACGAATACGTGAGAGACGCGATACGTGGACGTGGATCGAGTATTGACCGATTTAGTGTGTGTCGAGGAGTGGCTGGGTCACGGTGCAGCTGCGTCGAAGGCGATGATCGGCACAGCTCGGCCGGAAATTGTCACGTGACCAGCTGCTACCAAGCACCACCATGATGAAGTGGAAACACCAGAAGAGCGACTTCAGTGGAGAGTAAGTACCGATCTACCTTGTGCCCATTCCACCATTGATGTGAGGACTTTGTCCCTATTAGCCGCCCGTTCACTGGTTTACAGCGTAGGCAGGAGGATGGAGACGGGTCCCGCTGACCTGATCAGGCCGCTGCCCTGATACCGTGGCTAGTCCACCCGCAGCCATTCGATGGCTCGTTTTCTGCGCGGTAGTGCCAGGTCAGCGTAACTCCATGCTCCAGCTATCGTCTGCTCTCCTGCCTACTCAGAGCGCAGCTCACGGTGGCACAGGTGTGTTGCGTGTCGCCCTTCGGCTGAGCCGCGGCCGCCCGCAGCCCTCGAAGGCTGTGTCGGTGGTGGCGGCCTCTCAAGGCTGACCGGTCGGTGGGCCGCCGGTCTACACCGCTCCATCGCTCCACCACCGCTACTGCTGCCGCAAAAAGGAGCTGTCAGCCGCGGCACTGCTGGCAGCTCGATCCAGTTGGTGGGGACGGACGAGCGGATGTATCCAAGTTATCGACGTTTAGGTAAATGCTTAGTCGGCAGTAGGGTTTGCTTAGAGTCGTGAGTCGTGCTCTGAACTGTCTGAAGTAATGCGAGTCGTACTCCCAGTCGAGACAGTCGTGCTGTGAGAAGCGTTATGAGTCGCGCCGAGTCGGAGTCACACGTTCCGAGTCGTTCCGTCTCTGGCTGTCGGAAGTGGAACCGAGCACACCGTCTGGCTGAGCTGCCCGCCATTCCACCCGGCCGGGACTCTAATGCGCCGTGATAATGACCGCATGTGACACATTCCCATAGTCATTTCCGCTGCCACTGTTCAGAGCGGCCTCTATTGTGGCCGGCGCTGAGCGCACAATTTTCGCCGGGACTGAAGGAAACTGGGCTGTTCGGCCCCCGTGCGACATGAAACGGCTTTTACCGCCGGGGTTATCCATACCATTAGGCCACATGTGCCTTTCATGCACTGGTTCGAGCTTGTTCAGGGGTCCGGGATACTTCGGAGAACGTGAGCCGGTATCTAAGCGTTCACCGACGCTCAGACATGCCGTCTGTCCACCTCTGACGTCGGGGAATGGCTGATCACAGCAGATGCCAACCTACCGGACCATGCATTTTGAATGTGTCTAGCATGCTAAATAAATGAACGGAGTCGGACTGAGCGCTTCTCCGGTGGCTGCCCTCACCGAATTCCACTGACCACCGCAGAGTATTCGATAGAAACTCGCCCTCTTTCTTCTCACTCCCTCTTCCCTCTATCTCCCTTGAGCTACGCAGCCCGCTCCAGCGATGACCGAAGCAGCGTCAAACAATATCCTGTTGTCCCGTTGTCCGCTGCGGGGATCGAGCGCCATCGCGTCGGTCCCTCCCCCGTCTTGTGACGGTGCGTAGTCGACAAATCATTTATGAGCCTAAGCGTTACACGTGTAGTGCAGCAACGTCACATCAAGGGCGACTTCCAAAACATTTGCTCCAGATCGGCCGGCTGTATGGGCGGAGCGAGTGGAGCGAGTGCCATGCTGGTGTCACCGGTTGTCGCTACGAACCACTCAGCAGTGAACCAACGGCTGTGGGACAGACGGACTGAGCGGGCCAAGTCCAGCTGCCGTGTCGCCGTGCCGGCCGGTCCGCCGGTGCCGATGACCGGTTGGGCCGGTAGGTGCCGCCTGCCCGCCGCTCTCTGGGTCGGTCGGACCGTGCAGACTACGGCGCAGTTGGTTTACGGTCGCTCGTCACGACACGGATGGCTGAACAATGCAGAATCGGATCACGCGAGTGACCAGAGTGCATTGAAAGGTGGGCTCAGCCACCTGGGTATCCCCGGCTGCGACACGGCTAATGACTTTAATGTGACACTGCCGCTGGTCGCGCGCAGGTGTTTTGTTTCAGTATGTGGGAGGGGAAGGGGAGGGTGACGTTTACGCACGTGCTGGAGTCATGTAGCAGGCCCGGTGGCGTGAGAGATCAGGTGACGGCGTCAGCGGTAGCGAGAGGTGTCAGGTGACATTGACCGGGTGTCAGGTGACAGTGACTGGTGACGGAGGTCGGAGGTGAGGTAGGCGGGGTCATTGATTGCCGTGTGGTGTGGGGCTAGCTCCGCCCCGTTCTCAATGTGACTGCTGTTGGTATAGGAAAGGTAGTTCAGCTGCGCTCAGTTTAGCTGCACCTGTTCAATGGCACTCAGCTCTACAGGCCCTCGGCACTGTTCAGATTATCCTAATTTAGTTTCGGGCATAACAGCCGGGTCAGTTCACCTCCACGCGGTTCAGCTCTGCTCAGCTCAACCTGCAGGTCCAGCCTGCGAGGAGACCAGTGAACTGTCCTCTGCGGGTGCAGCGCAGTTCGGTTCATCAGTCATCCCACTGCGAACAGGGCGGAACGGTGGCACGATCCGCTGAGTCAGGCAGCGGGCGGTGAAGACCGGGCCGTGGTGACCGGGCGGTGGTGACCCGTTCGACGAAGCCGGGCGGTGGAGCCACCACTAGTTGGGCGGTGCCCACTGCCCTGCTGTTGACCCACCTGACGAGGAAGGGCGGTGGAGGGCGGTGGTAAGCGGGGCGATAAGGGCTGGAGAGGGGCGAGAACCACGAGGCAGCCCGACCGGTCCAGGATCCAGGGCCACTCCACTCGACCCCGTGTCACGGTAGAGTGGCCGACCCCCGTCCTCCGTCCTCCCCTCCGCTCGTGACCGCCCACCGCGTCAGCGCTCCCCCGCCGCCGCCAGCCTACTGGGCGGGGCCGACAGGGCAGGGGAGGGAACCAGGGGCGTGAGGAGGGCGTCGGCCCGACCTTGGTGGCCGCTCGAGCCTAGAAAACCTGCTCACCGCGCCCTGAAAGCTTGTAGCTCTGCACCTGGGTAAGGGCTTCAGCCTGACTGTTCTTTCACCGCACTCTAACCGTGCGATTCTGTACTTGTCTGGCCTTGGTCCATGGTCCATCGCTTTCAATCCTTCCTCGGGTCGAGTGTTGACTGTCTTCAGACTGTTCTTAATTTGATTTCTGGCTGTGTACAAACCGTGCTCGGGCGGGACTACATCTATGTTCTGCCTCGGCCTGACCGGCAATTGCGTTCTAATCGTGCTCCGACCGTGCTCTAACCGTGCTCTAACCGTGCTCTAACCGTGCTCGGCGGTGCCCTGGCTATTTCCGACGTGGTGCGGTCGTGCTCGGCGGCTAAGCTCGTCAGCACGTCTGGTCCCCGGGTTCAAAGCAGCGACGCGTTCCGCCCTCATATTACTCACAGTTAGTTCCGGTGCCGTTTATCTGCTCCTGACATCGGAACTGGCCGGCTGATCCCGAGAAATGTCACTGCTATTCTCACCTCCGCTGAGACCGGCTTGGTGAGAACGACGAGAAGTGTGAGAATGACAGTTATCTCCTTCCCGTGTCTGTAACTCTGAGGGAGCGGGCCTCACTGTTCATTTTGGCACGGTGTCAGCTGCGAGTTGCCTAACGGCTAACGCTGCTCGGAATCCCTCCACAGCTGTTCGATGATGCTATTCCATCAATCACTGGTTTGTTTTCCATTACATACCAACATGTCCGCTCCGGCTCGTCGGTGCACTGGTCACCAGACTGGACCTGAAACGTTACCGTCACAGTTGGGTGACGGTTCGGTGGCCGCTCTCCACTGAGCTGAACTCTGGTGGCCAGTCGTTCAGTCGGTTGGCCTTCAGATCAGATGGTTGGCATGGTCGGTAATCGGTTGCACCACGAATGCTCAGACAACTGTCATTAGAAGATCGGTCAGCTGTCAGTAGTCGGTCACCGTCTGCTGGTAGACCATCCGGTGGTCAAAAGTCGTGAGTTTCGTGATTCGTGAGTCCGTTACTCGTGACTCGTGACTCGTGACAGTTGCGGATGGAGAGTCACAGCACGCGATGTCCAGAGCGGAGTCTTCAGTAACAGTGCAGAGAATAGAAACAATGCGGCAGATGTGGTCCCGTTTGGGATTTTTACATATTACCGAAAACTGTTATATGCAGTCTACCAAAAGTGAAGAGTTATTCACACATCAGCACATTAGCTATTGTTCAATATCGCATGTCAGCGTGACATTTTTGTTTTTCTTCCAAACGATGGCATTGTGTCCCGACATTTTATTGTTACTTGTTTCTAGACAGGTGTGCTGACATGCGTACCCGGATCTAGAACATTTGCCCCTCAGGTCATCGCCCGATGATGGTCAAAATAGTTACAAGGTCGATCATCCTGCATTGCTGAGCACATTTTCAGCCGTCAGAAATTATAGTCCACTTGCCGCAATGGCATATGTTTCCTCATGTGAGTCACGCACTCTATGATGTTTGGAATGTCTGAATTGCGGAACTGCGCACAGCGGTTCTGCGTGCGTGAAGCACCTACATCAGGAAGTGGGATCTATACGGGTGTGATAGCGGGCTGCTAATTTACATTCCATACCATTAGCACTCATAATAACAGGACAGCAACCTGCAATTTTTATCACTCGCGTCGGACGTGCGTAACCCCGATGGGTCGCAGTTATGCACCATAAATCTCAGTGCCGATGTGTAGGTAGTTGTTACCGACAGATGATACTCTCCGTAGGTGCGCATCTAATTGGTGATCCCAGTCCGGTTCACTAAAAATGCTTGGCTTATCCGCTTTCCGCCATCTCCGCCTAGGTCTTAGGACGGCCGGAACCGGTGCTAAGTTCTGACGATTGACGAGCCCCGTCCATCCCTGCTCTCTCTTCCTGCGTTCCTCTCAGTCTCAGACGCTGAAAGCAGTGGACCCAAAGTGGACCCAGCGCCATGCCGTGGTCGCCGGAGCGCGGCACACGGTATTGTCAGACTCCAGTCGGGTGGAAAAGTAGCGCCGGCCGGGCGCCTTTATTTGGCGCGAACGGCGACGGCGCGCGGTTTCTGGCGGCACGCTGGGCGCCCAAATCAGGGCGGGGGCGGCACTGTAAGCGGCTTACAGCGCGCTGGAACGCGGGAACGGTGGCTGGCGAGTCCCCGGCCATCAGAAGGGAGTGGACATCTGATCAAGGACCGTCGAGTT